AGCACGTGCTGGATGCGGAAAGATAAAGAGAGAGAGAGAGAGAGAGAACGATCCGCTCGCTCGATCAACGATAAATGCTAAAGGCGATAAATAGATGGTTGGTGTTACGACGCCGGAACAAAGATTCGATTCAATGCCGATGCTATGAAGCGCGGTAACAGCGACTGCAGCAGCAGTAGCAACAGCAGCGATAATAATATAAAAGGGACGAGACGGTCCTCAAGTGAATCTTATCGTGAGTTTAGGGAGAAACGAAAACCTATCGCGAATTTAGAGAATCGAGACGAGTTATCGAGAATAAAAGTTTATAAGATGCAAAAAGGACGGAAAGATAAAGATGTAAAGAAGGACGAAAGAATGGGCTCGGCCCATTCGAAATTCTCACGTTACTTTGACGCTTTTAAAAATAGTTTGCTGCATAGGTAGCCAATAGACTAACATAAACCTGTTTTAACGATATCGATATTCAGTAAGCTCACTTGAGCTTTTAATTATACCAATATCGTACCATTTTAACAATCCCTTAAACCTATTTCGACTCTAAAAAAGAATGGAATTAAAAGGTTTATCGTAGGAGAAAAATTTCGTCTCGGATAATTAATGCCTCGATGCGAAGATGATTAGGATAAAGCGCAGTCGTGCGCCGCGTTACGTTATCTTATTGCGAATATCTTCACTTAGCGCGGCTTTCCGATGCAAATGTACAAATCGCGCGGTGGTAATCTCGCCGACGTCGAGTAGAACCCCCTTATCGGCGCAGAGACACTCCGAACGTAGGAAAGTGTTTGCAGTAAGGGAAAAGACGGGGCATCGTCCGCGCCTCTTCCTAATCTCCTTCGCCGCGGGATAATTAGCCTGGCCGTTCTCCTTCAAGCATCTTGCATCTCTCGCCGTGACCCCTCGCGCCTTCGGGACGGGATGCCTCGAGGATGGAAGAAGCCGAAAAGTACGGTCGCTCCGCGAGGAATTCGAGTTCGTTGAACCGCCTCTCTCTCTCTCTCTCTCTTCCTCTCTCGTGCAGAACGTGATCCGCAGATTATGGTTCCTCCTCCGATCGTGTCGTCGAAATGCCCGACAGTGATTACGTGCTTTTGTAGTCCGGCCGTGTCCGCGGCCACCTCTCCTTTCACTCGACATTTCGTCATCGGGGATGCCCGACCCTTTGTCCTTCTTTTCATTTTCTCTCTCTCTCTCTCTCTCTCTCTCCTTTTTGGTCTCTCTCAGACGTCCGTGCCACTTAGACGGATTCTCTCTCGGTATTCTTTCGAGGCACGTCTCTACAGATAAACTGTTTTCGAGGGCCGGAATATTAAATACCGTTGTCGGTACCGTTATTGATTCTTCGGTCCTTATTCCAACCGCGTCGTTAGGGCCGTGAATATACGGTCGTCTGAGCTTCTTCAGCCGAAGTACCGAGCTTAAAATCACGCATGGACGCATTTGGTCCTAATCACGCAGTCAGAATACTTTTTTTTATCATTTAATCGTAAAAACGAGAAACGAATTTATCACGGGATGCGTGTCTGCGCAAAGCGCGTTCGCCGAATGCGATTCGATAAATTTGCCCTCGCACGTTGACCTGTTCGTCATATTGAAAAAAACTCATCAAGAACTAGAATTTTTATTATCCGACTTTACGCTAATGTGCCAAGATATATCTATATTGTGAATGTAAATCATCACTGAATAAGGCGGTCCATTCATGAAGCTGGAACCGAATAACATTGGAGCTGAAATTACGGCTTGAGGTGTCAACCGCGGCCTATTTTATACCTTGTATAAATTGCGACACGCGCCACGTCCTGGAAAGTCAATTGACTCACGCGTGTCTAATAGAACGAGCGAACGTGCGTGATGAAAAGCTTGCCCTGTTAGTTATAAGAATTCATCGACGCTGTCGTTGCATCACCGACACACATACGAGAAACATCTCTCATTACGCTTCATTGCTGATGCTGTTTATAATTTAAAGAGGAACCCGTCACAGCGGAGCGCTGTCATTTCGCCGGATTAGCGTGAAATTAATGCATCGTACGAGTAATAAGACTAATAATAACATTAATAACGCTTGGGTAGGGCGCGTAAAAGCGCGGGTATATCTTTCAGACGATAATTAGAGTGGTAAACGCAAGCGATATTAATGTTTAACGTTGACCGTGTGAGTTTTCGCTCTCAGAGAGTTCTCTCTCTCTCTCTCTCTCTCTCACACACACAACATCGCTCGTTCTGCTATATTATGTATATAATATTTGCACGCACGTGTAATACGTGTATATGTAGAAGGAAATTTCGTTTTTTTTAATAAGCAAGATTTAATAAAATTGAAAAGAAATAACTCGAGTCGAAACCTGGGTCTTATATCAAACCATTATTTCTAACGCAACAGGAGCTAAGATAGCAAAATAGGTTCAATTCTAAAGATGACTCTTATCATGATGATGTTTTAATTTCCATTTTAGATGTTTTTAATGTCAAAATAAGTTGTTTTAAATTACTATTAAAATTAAATTTGTAAAATTAAAGGTTCAAGAGAGAGAAATTAATAAATGTCAGTATCTTGAAAACAGATTTTTATTAGTCTATGCCATTTAAGTAGACGTATCTTTAAGAGCGTCAAAGTAGCATCAAAATTTCAACTTGAGTACTCATTTCGATATCTCAGTATGTCATCTTTCGAGCGTAAGTCATTGATATGAAAGAATTTAGCGTAAATCTCTCGATATGAAAAGAACAGATTCTCTTGAAGCAGATCTCTCGGAGGGATCCCGCGCCGTCTTTCATAAATCGGCGTTACTCATCGGGCGTGCAATAATCGTTTGTCTTGTCGATCCAATCTCGCACCACTTGCTCTCGGACATGTTTCCATAGAGCGCGCGTTTCATGATTTTGCCACGACGGGACGTTGCCGGAACGATGGAATCGGCGAGATATCTCAAGAATGTGTACGAACGGGACACCCATTGCTACGAGGAGATTATTTACGACATAAAGTCGACTCGGACCGAAGACGTAGGTCATCGAGGTTCCGCGGGGTTAACTCGTTTAACCTTCTTCTCCCTCCCGCGCCCGATCGGGATCAAGATCGGCTCGGTCTTAGATGTGTACTCCGATTGGCAGGGCGTACGATGGACTGTCATTCGTCACTGCTGCTCATCGATTTCGCGTCAGGACGATATCGAACGTGAGACGCAAAGCGGGAATATATATAGTATCCATAAGTATCCATATATCTCCATATATCTCGATCTCATATATCTTGATTTAACAAACGAATCGGAGGATATACGATTATACGTCACGTAAGTTAGAGATTAGATTTTATCATATTTCTCTCTCTCTCTCTCTCTCTCCCTCTTATAACATGTCATAACAAGTTGTTATTTATAATAATATATGATATATTCTAATATTTTTAATCATATTATTTATATATATTGCATTATTTTATTATATCTTGATCGGTATATTGAAAGAAAATCAATTGAACTTTAAGGGAGCGTATTGAATAATAAAGTTCTATAATTAAAAGAGAGCTCTCCGAATTGATGAAGCGGCAAAACTGATCGTTCTATTCTACCTACCAGTCATTAATTTTCATCGTTCTGAAAACACAGCAAGATGGAGGATTTTTATTGTTCACCCACCACGTGTGTGCTGCGGACATTGCGCGTATTCTCGGGATTAAAGATGCCAGAGACCGACCCGCGAACTAACGTGCTATTTGTTTCAATGCTTGCGGCGTCGGTGGTTTCCGGGTTATAAGCTATTGGTTTTTTGCGAATTCAATTTCTAATATAAAGCGAATCAACGCAATCAAAAGCCTGTCGACACGTCGTTCAATATTTTGCATTTCATCGAATGGATTTAGATTTACTATCCGGAGAGAAAACGATATTATCCTTGTTAATAGTGGATCGTTCGGGATCTGTAAATAATTGCGAGCCACTCCGTACGAAAGAGCGAGAGAGTCTATTATGTTCCACACAGACAGTTTAAAATCGCCGTATATAAAGAATCACGAAGGCTACGTGCGCATAACCTGCTGGGTAATCTTTCGCCGCAAGAAAATCGCGTTGTGAGTTAAATCGTACGTCACGATCCAGTTACTTGACCCTGCAGGTCTAGCATGACGTTGCTTCGTCGGCCTGGCGGAGGGAAGAGGTCATCGTGACTCTGAAGGTTCTCAATTGGCTCGGCAGGCGCGGATAGAGAGAAAAAAGAACCGCTCCTTTTTACGCTCATGCTTTTCGTACGACTTACACTCGCCTGCCTCGGAAATTGCCTTGAATCTATATTATGCTCGCGACAATCGAGGCTGGGAAAAACGTTGAAGCCGTGAATCAACTCGAAAAGCCAAGCCATCTCGAAACTAGTCGTTATTGTGTCGCGTTAGTCCGTCTAACGTACACGCAATTAAATCAGTAGCTCGTTAATCTGTGTGCGACAAACTCGGGAGGAGTTGGTGCGGGAAGAAGTGACTCGCATTGTTCGGGAAATTAAAAATTAACGGTGAATTAAAACGACGGTAAAACGACGTTGGATCGTGCGATAAAAGCGAAACTCTTTCTCCACATATATATGTGTGTGTATATATATATATACATATATAATATATATATATTATATTTCCATGATACATCGGTACGTGTACATCCACCTTCGAATACAATGCATAACATTTATTACTGTAGTATTACTTTATAATTCGTATGCGTATATATATAGGTATATACGTTTAAAATTTAAGAGCCAGTACGGAGAAGTATGTAGATTGCGGGCTGTCTGTATCTATATATATATATGTGTGTATACACCGTTAAAAGGTATAGTCTCTTTGTGTTTTAGTTAATTCGCCACAGACATATATATATATAACAATTATCGATTAGTCGGCGACTATACACATAATTTCACGTTCTCTTATTCCGCGTACATATTTCGTCGTGTCCGTACTCAGCGTCGAGAGAGAGATATCTTTCTATCTATTTCTCATTCTTCTTTCTCTCTCTCTCTCTCTCTTTCTCTTTCTCTCTCTTTCTCTCTCTTCGCACCGATCTCAATTAATTCTATCGACTTGTTCGCAATCGTCCTCGACGGGTCGACGGGCGAGAGAGGAACCTACCGACGATCTGATTAGCGAAAGTGGCCGGAAAGGAATCTCCAATCAGAGGACGGTAATTTCCCAAAATTTGTCCGCGCGCGTCTCGTCACCGATGTGCCAATTTTCCGTGCCGTCGCGCAGGAGGACTGCGAAGGGCGCCGAAGAGCGCAGAGAATCGAGCTCGATTCGTCGCGGAAGGACGTCGCGTCGTCCAGAAGACGGCGACTACGAGATACTCGACATTATTATATACGGATAGAAGTCGAGCTGCGATTCTCTGAAGATAGAGACTGTTAAAGAGACTGCGGCAAGGTCGTCGGTGGGAGGGCAGCGATGCGACGCGCGAGAATAGAAACCGATCTCACACTCGAAGTCTCGTACCGATACAATTCTTCGCGCGCATAATGTTGCCGTGTAATACAAACGTGTGACATAATGCTTCCGATATTTTATTCGTGTCGTCAATTTCACAATTTCCTGTTTCTTCGTAGTTCTTATTTTTCGTAATTTTCGCGAAGAAGGGAGGCCGGAGGGTTGACGAATTCCCGGAGGAGAGAGTGCCGTCGTCGTGAAGTACAAACGCAACTTGTTTGATTTTTATCATTCACATATATTCTATACGCATTATCTGAACTCGTGGAGAAATCAGACGACGAGGCTCATGGCCGCCGGATACAAGTGTGTGTCCTATTACAGAGAGTTTAGTCGTCGGTTTCACGACCCCGAGACTTTTATCTCGGCGGAACGGCAGGTCACGGAGAAAGAACGCGCCGAGCGTGAGGAAAGAAACAGTTACAATAAAATATTTTCACACGGTTGCATTCTTCGCGCGTCCCATCCGGAAGATCCGAAGCAGCCGCTGCAGCACAGAGGGGACGATCGATTGATGTGAATCGAGGTCCTTTGAGCGCGCAGTATGCGTTCCCCGGCATCCCCGGCTGTCGGCTCAACGACGATCTGCGCTGACGAGGATGAAACGACGAGGGAAAAAAGAAGTCCCCGAGAGGGTAGGAGGAGGAGGTCGGGCGAATAAAACGGCGGTCGTGAAAACGGAACGAACGCACGTAAGCCCCGGCGTTACATTTTGACACGATGAGCCGGGTAATTCCCGCCGAAAAGTCGCCGTTCAATCAGCGCGAGGATCAGACGCTGCACCGAGACCGGTGCTCGTTAATCGACTGCACTTCCTCCCATCCTCCTATCCGTCTCTCGTAACCGGAGCTACGGGAAGGGACAAGGACTCGTTAGCCGACTACTAACTGAGAATGATCGGTGCAGCGTATCCCAGGTATCGAATATCGCGAGAGAGGTAGTCGTGAAAGATCGCGCGTCGAGAGACCGGAGAAAAGGGATTTTCTCACAGAAAGGGAAACAACAAAGAAATCGCGCGTGGAAGGATTCTGCGAACGTCGACGTATCTCAGCTGAGTTTCCCCCCGCTTTTTGTAAACAATCGATCCTGATAATCTCGTAATAGTGTGCGCATTCCTCTCTCTCTACCGAGAGGACCTATGACACGCGAAAGAGGAGATCTCATCGAAGCGTATTATCATCGAGGCCATTGTCTTATGTCGAGGATACAAATCGCAAGCGTCGAAAACGTCGTGCCGGTACGCCCGTGGGATAGACAGATACATCGGCTGGGTGAAATTATACGGGAGGAACGTCCGAGTGCTCGAAGGAGGACATCGTCGGAGGACAGTCAATCCGGCGGAGTAATGAAACGAGAAAGAAAAAAAAAAGGAAAGGGGAAAAGAGACGTCAATCGAGATGCAAGGGGAGTTCAAGGAAGACCAACGAAAGGAGAACAGGAGCAAAGGCCGGAGGTGGGGTGGGAGGGGGGAGGCTTAGCCCCACTTCTGGAAGAGACCCATCCGTTGACACTGGCAATTGGAGCCCCAGAGGTTGCAGCGGCAGCTAGAGCTGAAGCAGCAGTCCTTCGGCCGGTGGTCGCAGTTGCCGCCGCGTCTTATGCAGGCCCGCCTAAACAAGTATATCAACGAGGTACGTCTACTCGAGATTAGGGAAATCGAGAGAATGCCTTTTCGAGACATCGAGACATCGAGGCAGGGCGCAGCGGTCAGTTAGAGTTCTAGATATCGTTATTATTATGATGATTATTATACATTTTATTAACGAAAAGATCTCGCCGAGGAAAGTAGTGTGAGGCGGGTAAAGGATGAAGCCGAGGACTGACGAGTAAGATAAATCCACTCACTTTTGCTGCGCCGCGCGCATCAGATTCTCCAAAGCATTGTCCGTATAATCCGAGTCGCCACCGGCTTGGAGACCGTCGTCTTCTGCAAAAATCAAACGAACGGTCTGTTTTAATGCGATGAACATTCGTTCGCTCTGTTCCGCTCGGTTGCCTCGGTCGCGATCGCGCAATATGTACATATGTGTCTTTTTAAATTGTTTATTAATAAATACACGCTAGACATAAAAAGACAAGTCGGCCGACCAAAGCGATGACCGGCGGCTAAAAATAGATAATCGTCTGACCTTTAACCGTGGAAAAATTGAATAAACAGCCGTAGGCGTTAGATAGCATTTCAATCGGGATGAGGCAAAACTTTATCTTTATACGGATTTTATTACTGTCTATTCCACGTGTGTCTGGAACGAAGTTTTTCCTGAACAACTAACATACGTCGAAAGCATCGCGGGCAATACAGATATTGATGTCTGGTGGTGAAATTGAGAAATTTAAAAAAACGTAGCTTATCTTTTTAACTCATCTGTAACATTTTTATACTTCGTAATTCGCATCGCGTATCGTTAATCATACGCCGGCTTAGATCCACGAACACTCGTGATTCATCGATCCATGATCGCGAAAGATTAATGGGCACTCCTCACTGAAGAAGAGGAGAGCGTAAAAATAGAAGAATATTCTATGTACGTTCTCTTGACACAAAGCAAATAAAGACATTGTAAGCTCCATTTCGCTACTGGGGCGTTCCTTTGGTTCGACGCACGGCTATTGGAGCGAATGTCACCCGTCGTTCCTTTCGGCAAAATTGAATTTGTCCAGCGTTTGCTGATTTCATTCGATCGAACGATACAATGCTATTTCGGGGCACAACGAAGCTTTCTGTGAACGAGCTTTGTATGAACACTACTCCCGATGTCTACAGAGAGGGTGTAGATGCAAATCAACCGACGAGTGTAATTCACTGACAAATTTCGAAGTTATTTCACTTTGGTAAAAGTCTGGGAAGATATTTAATCAGAAAAAAGTACGATCGTTTTTCCTTCATACCTTCTTATATTTTAATATCAGTACTTCCAGCGAAATGCACAGGTTCGGAAGACTATTCGAAAGTGCTAAACTGACTGCAAGACGCAGCGTAACAGCCGAGGAGCTCGTATTTAACATTCTCGTCGGTTCCGTTTTTATTAACACGCTGCTTTGTTTTTGTTACCGTGCAGTCTCACACGGGACAAAATGGTATCTAGAATCCATTAAGGTTATTACCACAAATTTCGTTATACGTTTCTGGAGTTTACACGAGGGAGATGTTCTATCCACGGCGCGAAGCGATGGCGGAACGGAACGTTGCGTCGGAACGGACAGAATGAAATGTTTTTCGTGCTGAAAAATTAACGTTCCGCATTTTTGCTAGCGCGTTTGCTAGAAAATAAACTTAAAGCATTATCGTGTCACTTATACGCCGGCGGGTCGAAATGAAAACGCAGCGAAACGACGAAATTACGATCGTCTGATTGAATGGTGCGATTCACGCGCGCAAATAAATGAGAGAATGATATATGGATGGGACAAAGATCAGGTAAAGAGCGAACGAACAACCGGCCGTAAGTTGATTAATCGTCGCGAGATAATCCTGACGAAGTCGACCTTGCTGAAACGTAGCGCGAAACGCGCAACGACTATCCGTTATTTTTCTTCTTCTTCCATTTCCCTCCTCGTCGCCATTCCCATCGGCGACCTCCGGGATTAAGGTAATCTAAGGACCGCCACCCTTTTGCCGCCCACTTCCTACGCTCTTACGCGAACACTCCAGGGACGCCGCAAATGTTTCAATATTCTTACGGTGTACTGTACCAGGAAATCTTGAAATTACCCACGCTTATGGTGGACGACATGGTCATCCTTTTATTAGCCACTAACGTTAAGATAAAGGTGCACGAGACTTGTATAGACGCGATATCAATCCCATAACAATATCCGCTCTCGCGGATCAATACTGAGTCGTCTGACATTTTAGAATTTTACGGTGCGGAGAAATTGCTAAATTTGCTTCCGAGTTTCGACGCTTTATGACGTCTCGTGAATGTATCAGTTCACTTCTTCAGTGTGAAAAGCGACCCGAAACTTCGAATTAAGGAAGCGAATTAGAGATTTAATTTTAATGCTACTTCGAAGCTACAAATGCTCTCGATATTTCGATTATTAAATTCATATGAGTTTTCAAAACAACCTATTTTGAAGCTAAAAACAACGAAAACGGAAAACAGCATCATCATTGTCAAAGTAGAAGTGAATGATATCATTAAAATTAAATTTATAATCTACCTTAATTTCTACTGTTGTAGAATCGTAAGAAAACTTTGATTTAATTTAATAACAATTAAATTTAATTTAATACAGGGCGAAAATTTTGACTCGGATGTGTGGCGGAAATAAATTCTCTCGAGTTACGAGCGATGGATAGTTGGGAATTTCACGAGTCCTGAATCTGCCACCGAGTTTGATCGTGGAACTCTGATATCGAATTGCCTGTTCGGCTGAAATGATCGTTCTCTCAGTGGAAAATCTATCGGCAATAATTACTCGAAGCTTGTCACAATCATTATTTGTTAAGGAAGATCCACTTTAAGAATTTTTCCATGCCTCGAATTTCATCAAGAAGCTGAATCACGGGACGGATCTCTTGCTTCGACCCGCAATATTGTCGCCATCGTGTGCTTTCTAACCACCATGAGAGATACGAAATACGTGTCGTGCAAATCGCGAACACTCAGTTAAAATTCTACTACTAACGTACCGGTTATTATTCCACAATCCCAAAGAAGACGCCTTTTTGGCAGCGAAGGGCACGTTTCCCGCTGTTACTATCAGCAGTTTTATATTATTGCGCCCGGATATAATAAAATATGGCGAACGACAGTAGAATAAATTTTACTTTATGGCTCGCGAAGTAAAACCGTATTTTATCGTCGACCGAGGGAAGTACATAACCCATATTTACACCGGGCGACGTAGTAATCCAATTATTATGTGACATTTTGCAGTATTCATGTTGCCGTGTGTGGCTCTCGATATATAAAATGTCACGAATAACTCTTTTCTTTTTTTTTTGCGAAATAACGTTCGCGATCTGTCGCTTTTCGCAAACACAACGTGTAAAAGCAAAGAGAATCAAATAATCGAGAATTATGATTAACCGAGGAAGAAACGCAACACGAACGACTTCTTGTCTCCGACCTTGCGAGATATCGAGAAATCGATTAACAATTCCAACGTACGACGCAAGGAAGCCCCGAAAGCAAACGTGGACGTGTAATTAAATCGCCAAGAATGATGACCCGCTTGAAGCCGATTATAGTTTTTTCATTAGAGCTCACTGTTCTTACGCAATCACCATGATTTTCTAATCACCATCTGATCACCATCCATACTCATTGAATCGATGAGATTCGCTGGATTAATTACGTCTGAATTGAATCGAAGAGAGCGCTCAGTGAGAGACAGAATTAACGAACGTCGATCGAATTAACGAACAGACATATTTATTTATCAGCCCGCGATCCGCCATGATTGATCCTCCTTGACGCGCAACCTCAGTAACTACGAGACCACTAGTACACACGAATCTGTAAATTAACGCACCCATTAAATATTCGGCGTTTTAAAAGTAGGGCGAACAAAGATATGAAACAAGAGAAAGCGAGGAAGCTCCAGCGAATCGATCGTCCGGAAGCTGCCATGCATACGTGCCATAAAAAAGTTGTACGCCACGCCGGCACGTTTTGATTCCTAATTCATTTCACCGGGATGAAACCGACGGTGGTGCAACGTTGAGCGACGTCGAAAATTCAACCCGCTCGCGTCCGGTTTCCGGTTTCTCCGGCCGCTAAAAGAGCGATATCGAATAGCGTGATGCGCTTTAGCTCGGCATTTAACTACAGTGCGCGCGATTAATTCGTTTCGCGGGTGTGCAACGAGACGGCCATAATTCATCATTATTACCTCCGTGGACCCCGCAATTTCGAACTACGCCCACGCTACACCGATGGCAGCTGTTTAACTAAACCGTGCGGCGGCTTTAACGCGGGCCGTAATAATTCAATCGGCGCACAGTCGTCCGATCATGCATTGACCGGCATCACTTGCGACGTACCGCCGCGATCCGGTGCGTCGGTGCGCGATATAAAAATCTATCGGCCTCTGTCTTGCGTCGAGTCTCTCTCTCTCTCTCTCTCACCACCCTCTCTGTAAAAACTCCCGCTTGTCGTCCCGTTCTCTCGAGCTACTTTTATTTCGCTCTCACAATAGCTTCTAATAGATTTACTCCCGACGAATGCATATGAACCGCACTCGACTGGACACGTGCGATGTGCCTCATAATAGTAATTCACCCTCTCTCTCTCTCTCTCTCTCTCTTTTTCCTTCCTTCATAAAAATTCTCGCTTATTGTTCAGCTATCTCGAGATACTTTCATCTCACTTTCAATAGTTTTTAGTAGATTTATTTCCGATGAATATACGTGTATCGTTACGCGAACCGCACTCAACATCGCACACTCGCCATGTCTGATAACAATAATTCGCCCTCTCTGTCTCTCTTCATCGTATAAAAATTCTCCGTTTATCGTCCCGCTCTCGAGATACATTCATTTAAGTTACAGTAACTTCCAATAGATTTATTGCTGATGAATGACACATGTATCGTTGTGCGAATCGCGCTTGTTCGCGCACACGCAATAACTGATATTAATAACTCTCACTCTCTGTCTTTCCCCCTCATCTCGTATTCTCTTTCCCCGTTTGGTAATCGCGAATTCCACGGTTGAGTACGCGGTCGTGAATGAATGAAAGACGAAAGCAACGCTTTGACGGGTTTGCAGGCTTTAAGCGCGAGTTTCGAGATATTACAACGCGTCGGCGAACAAAGCGCGCGCGTCTCGGTAGAGTCTGCGAGCTCCAAGTCTTTCCTCCCTCAAAGTCTTTCCGGTTAATTCCGGTAACGTTAAATACATTATGATACGCTAGCTAGAGAGTTTGCCAACTTTCGAGAGGTTTGCCGCGCGTCTCCGAAGAAATGTAATCGTCGTTATAGTAATTCTTGTTTACCGCTATAAGATTCGGGGGAGATTCAGTCTCGCGAAGGAAACGCGATAAAAAGATCGATAGTGTGTTCGACGAGCATTTTAAAGCGATCTCGAGCATCGTGCGGAGCAGATATTAGTTTCATAGTTCGGGACCGCACGGGACGGCGCATTTTAACAATTGGGAAACTTCACTCGCGCAAAACTGCTGTGGCCTTGTCGCTCTTTGCTATTCAAATTTTATTTAAGAATAATATTTGTTTACACGGACGCGCGCATACGTGTTGTGTACTTACGGGAAAATCTCCGTGTATTCTTTTACAGAAAGAATTTCCGTCGCCCAACGGAATAAATTTAATAGAAAATTTCATGCATACATATTAGCTTCAGAAAGGTCGTGAACTCTCTTTCGTTCTCGAGAGAAGTTGCGTGAAATGAATTAACGGGAGGAACTGTCTGTATTTTTTTAAAAACGGCGTAAAAGAAACGCGTAAAAATGTGTTTATTTTCAACAATGTTACGTGAGGCGAAGACTATTTTTATTGTCGGTATATTGCACGCTGCGATAGTAGTATCTAAAAAAAAAAAAAGGAAAAACAACAGAAAAAATTCTCTTAAAAAATACAATTCGTGCAGAAGAGGAGGAGAAACGACGTAACCGTTTGCTTTTTACCGTTTTACCCACGTTTAGGTTGGGGGTGAGGAATCCCGTTGAAGCTAAATAGCTTTCTATAATTAAGAGTACGTTCCACACGAGGAATTTCCTGTCTCTCGGACGAGCCGAGCTCGGTACGTAGGCTGAGTCGAGCTTTTTTAACACAGGTTGCGTAAGAGCACTCCCTTAGATTCTCACCTGACACTAACTTTTTGCGTTGGAATCGTGTCTCCCGGACGTCTACTGTTTACGAACCAATCGAAATCGCCTCGGACATGTAGATCTAAGCACCTGTTATGAAACTGTTCGGAATGGATTCCGATCGGGATCATTCAGCCACTCTCTAGATTCCCTCTCGTATCTTATAGAGAATAATTAAACGATTCCGATCAAAATTAATTCCGAACAATTCCACGACATGCGCTTTATATTAACAGTCGCAACTCGGAACTTACCGCGGATAAAACATTACGATCCCCGAAGTTAGAATCAGACGTGAATTTTTCAGCTGACACGTTATTACGAATCTAACATCGCGTATGATTCAAGTAAAACATTCAAACCTAATTCGAAATACGAGCGAACGACTGTTATTGCGGATCGTAATACAATGTTTACATTTTCTCTCCCCGAGTGTCAACTTAGATAGACTCTTCCGCGCGAAGGTTAATTAAACGCCAACTCGAGGAGTTGAGGACGACGCGTCTCTCTCGCCGAACTTTCCGCAGTGCAAACGTACACACTGACTGACAAGCCTTGTCGAGGAAGATTTGCGTAGATCGTCGCGCGAAAAGGGATCCGCGGACTACATTCTCAGCCATATTCCGCGCGAACGGTACATTGCACGGAGAAAAGAAAGGACCGTTTGATTTTTCTATTTTACCCACGTTTAGCCTGGAAAAATCCCGTTGAAGCTAAGTAGCTTTCTACAATTAAGTGTACGTTTTTCACGAGCGACGCGAAGAGGGTGAATTCGCGAGGCACAGCGTTCTGCGCGAACGAGACTCCTTCCGCCCGCTGATGACCGGCATTCGCACAGGAAACGCGTCCACGAATGTGTGATACAATTTCCCCGTGCAGGATCCCCACCACCCGGGCGAGAACGAAATAATCCTGCGACATCGCGCACCACCGCGAGCCGGAGAAACGCGAGACCGAGGACGACCGGTCGTGATTATCCTGCGTATATCCTAAGTCGTCACGAGAGGACATTTTCCCTCGTGTATCCTGCGGAGCGTCTCGTGCTCTCGTCGCGTACAGGAACACGACGACTCGATGGCCGACACTCGAGAAAAGAAAACGAGAGAAGGAAAGGACTCACCCTCGTCGAAATAAGGACTGGCGAAGCTCCTGTCGGCCAGGACGACCAACAGGATAGACAGCCACAGCAAACAGGACCTCATGCCTACGACGCGGCTCACTCGTAACGTCGTTCGCAGGTTCGCCGGCGACAGGTGGAAAGGTCCTCGAAGGCGAGAGAGAGAGAAAGAGAGAGAGAAAGAGAAACGAGATACGACAGACGCAGAAAGCTCCTGCTCGTCCTCCGCTCGGCAAACAATGCCACCCTCGACTACCACCGGGTACTGGAGTGCGAGTGAGGGTTTCCCCGTGGCCGTGGAGTTTATATAGACGCGGGAGGCGTGGCGATGCGCCCCCACGAGGATAGATGGAAGCAGAGCTTGAGCTTCGGGATCAGGCGCGAGCTTCTCCACGCGCGTTTTCCCTCGCATTGTCCGACTCTGCCTGAGTCGGCGGTGTCCTCCCCGTGGACACAGTAGGGAGCGAGATCGTTTTCGGCGTAGCCTCGATCGCGACCGCGACCGCAGGTACTCGCGGAGAGGAGCAACTGGTTGCGAAGCAACTGGTATCTAAGCTTTCTCTCTCCCCCTCTTTATCGATCACAGGGTCCTTTGGAGTCCTTTGTACAAGATTGACCCTGTAATTAAGACCAGGAGCGTTACGGCATGCAAAATGAGAGTCCCGAGAACACGAAGGCGTGTAAATAAATAGTAAAGCGGATGTTCGAGATAGCCGGTACAGCTTTGTGCGCAATGTTTGTTTTATCGTCTCTACTAATGTGATCCGTACAGCACGACGTTTAATTTCGTCCTTGATTTCCCCTCCTGCATGCGCGTCCAGTTAAATCCTTTCCACACAGTCGTATTTTCGTCGTAATCGTTATTAATGCGCTTCTTTGTATGTTCCGTGTGTTTTTTTTTAATTTTATCTTTATGTACTTCTTTTTTCTTTTTTACCGATGTTCCCCGACTTTTCATATTTCCCTATCTATTCTTATCCCGCAAAAGCAATTTTTATGGAGATAATTAAAAACAGCAAGTAAGCTATTAACTGGTTGACCAGTTCTCGTAATTACGGGAGGAGTTCCCATTTTATGCGCTCGAGAGAAGATAAAATTTGCTTCTCGAACAATGAAAAAAAGCAAAAGCTCTCGTTTCGCGATCCTGGATAGCTAATTTAAACTGAAAATTTCGAGATAAGTAGAATAACCGGATGGAAGGAGGAGTTACGTACGACCGCCACGGCCTTTCTAGTGTTAACAGATCGGTATCAACAAACGTGTCTTCTCTCGCACCGGCAGGATAATTAATCCAATCTCCTCGTCCTTCATACGCAATTTCGTAGATCACCGTCATTGTCATCCGTCGCGTCTCCATTATACGTCATTGAATGCGGAGCTAATAAAATCTTGATTACGCAAACCGCCGTGTTTCTCCGAGGCTCCAGCCGAGATGAGTGCAAAAATCAGCGGACATTGTTACAACCGGCACTGATTGTGACTAGTTAAGATCAGGACGAAATATTATGTACACAGGATGTCTCAAAACTGCCGTGTGATATTTCAATGGTGTATTCTGGAGTTTAAAGCAGAAAATACACAATTGATATTTCAAGAGTCACAGTGGCTTTCAAATGGCAAATATTTCAAGCTCGCTTCGTAAATAAATTACGAAGCATATGTGCATCTCAACTCCAGCAATCGTTGCGAGACCTGCGCGGCTGAGACTTTAGATCGAATCGTATTATGCGTACTGTAACCTACAGGGAAAACTTTAATGGATTCCGTTATTCCGCCGCAGAGCTATCGCCATACTCGCGGATCATAAATAATCCTCAACTTAAAATTCCGTTAAAGTAATCTCACGCGTCTCACCTCGAAACTTCATTCAAGGATTTTCAGCGTTTTCAGTAATCTTGCTTGCCTCCACTGCCCAGCATTATATTTTTATTACAGTATTATCGGGACTTGAAGTTTCAAAAACTTTGAAATCGAAAGATCAAATTTATGTCGGATTTACTCTCTCGTACAGTTTTTCACGAATTCGGGGAAATTTCGGCCTTCGGTCTTCGCGCGAGCGTAATCGTACGAGTTCTCGTTGGTGGTGCACGAAAGTTGTTTATCGCCACCCTAAGGTGTACACACTATTGTTCGGTCGAATATGCAATTTAGTTTATTCACGCAACAGTCGCGAACCGCCACTGTGGCGGACGTGAATCGCCGCGAGCTCGCAAGCGACGACGTCCCCGCGACAATCCCGAATTTACCCCGGTCAGGAGGAAGGGTGAAATTCCCTGGCATTATGCAATGTATGGCGGTCGAGAGAGCGGAACAAGCAACGTGGAGATTTGAGTTAATATTTGGGTTGATATTTGGCGAAATAGTCGTCTGTTATTCCGCGAGATTACGGCACGATTTGATGAAATATACACGAAACACTCGCGGAAATCGAAGTTCGCAAACGGCGAAATTCGTTCGCGAACAATCCGGGAACGTCGGAGAGAAAATAATGAGGAAGCTGACTGAGGGTGTCTGCCCGTATATATACATGGTGTTTCGCGACTTCGGGGAAATGTATATTGAAAGGTGAGGTAGTAAATCTTCTTTTTTCTTTTTTTAGATATTGTTGATCTCAGTGTGTAATAACAGAATCAAAATCGATACCTCTGATATCCTCTCGCGCTCAGCTCTGTAGATAAGAAACAAAAAGCACAATGCACTTACCCGTCAGAAGTATCGGCGACGCGAGTTAAAAACTCCGCCATCGAACACCCGCCTTTGACGCTAAGTTGCCAAATTGTATTCGGAAAGTTTGCGAGCGGAGGGAGGCAGGGGAAGTTACAAGTTGTCGCTTAAGCCACGCACAGCGAAATATAATGAAATATTCGCGTTCGACAATTTATCTATTATTCAGACTTTGATCACGACGCTATGGGCGCCTCTACGGCGAACTTTCCACGTTTACCTAAGGACATATCAGGCGCAATTTCAACTTGCTGCATACAAGCACAGCCGACGGAATATTCCTGCAGGTACACGACTTCCTCACAATAGTGATACGTATCACAAACGTTCTCAACATTATTCGCAACGTCACGTCGATCACTGACTTTTGCCGACAAATATTTGAGCCTTGTGTCGCCCGGCGACTCCATCCATATCCAACATTTTTGCGGAGTAAATACGTTCAAATAAGAAGACGTATCCACAAAATGACATTTGTTGATTCAGCACACTATTAAACTACTCTGAACACATTTCTTCTGCTTGAACAACCAATAAACAGCCTTTCAAGCCCTCTCAAGATTTTGTCTCCCTTCATTTTAAGGAGACAAAATCTTGAGAAAGGAAGGTTTAAAAAAGAAGGTTGCATATTATGTTAATTTTACGATTATTTATCGATTGTTATAGCAAAAGGAAAGTTTTCTGATTATCTTACAGGCATATTGAATCAATCACAAATAACATTTTGTGGAATTCGAACGTAGACCGTAGAATCAATATTTTTTGTAACGTAATACATTGTATAACTCGACACAACTTCGAACAAAGTCGCGTGTCGTTTCGCGTTAACGAAAGTTCGCGTATCAACAAAAGGGTAGCACTTTTTCTGTAAGTGAAAAGGCGAGCCGAAGGAAGAGGGAAAGCGAGTGAAGAAGAATTTTCGGCCGAGGAGGCGAAGGTCTCGCGTTCGTCCTTCGACGAGGGTTGCCGCCAGGGTTCGGTCGAGGCCGGTGTCGAGGTGGAAGTTACAAATTGCTGATCGCGAGTGATTTCAGGAGGGATGTGTGCTCTCCGTGCGACGGTCGCGCTTATAAAAGGTACGTTATGTTCCTTCGTCGCTTGAATCATCGGGTAAGCCGCATTTATGGTAATATCATGTTTGCGCTTCCTATTACCGAGCAGACGAGTCGCACTAGTCGCAATCGAGTATCACGTCAAATCCGTGGCGTTACGACTGTAACTCCCCATATTTAAAAATTATATTATATTAAACAAAGTATTTTTTGGTGTACTTTATATTTTATAGCTTTTATATACTTTATATTGCACATTATTGTAACATATGTATTATTGCGTGCGAATTTAATAATTGCACAGAGAAAAATAATTTAGAGGGACAACCAATTTTACGCTGTCGTAGCAGATAATCAGGATGTTTCTTAAGTACTGTACAATGTTTCACGGGTTGACTTTTGATGAAATGAAAATGAAAAGTGAACGAATGAATTTATTTTATGAAGAAATGAACTGTGATATGTTCGCCTGAACTTTACTTCATCAAAATCACCTGAAAAATAAACTCCTAAAACATTGAGCAGTATTCAAATAACGCCCTGTATATTCAATTATTCGTTAAGACAGCGTGATATTTACTATCCTCCCAAAATTATCTTTCCCCTTGCGTATTGGGCTGCTTTATTCTTATTAACGTATTACAGGCATCTAGCTTACTTTTTAAACTCCCTCTAAGACCGAGAGAAATTTGGAATTCGAAAATAGGTGAAAATTTTAGAACGAGTATCGTCTTTAATTCGGTGAAACGCACAGAAACGTGAGTACGTAACGCGCTAATATTATTTCTTTCTCGACAGCGCGTCATCCTTAGAAAGACGAGAGCAGAGAGGAAAAGAGAGGAAGAAAAGGCGCGTCTCGAGGCGGAGGCGCACCCATAACCAGGAAATTCGATGTCCTATCCTAATTGGCGTTTACGGTACACGAGGGTGCCATGCGTCATACGATATTATTACATCGCCTATGTAATGAGTTACCGGAGCCACCTCGGGCTTCATTATAGACAACGACGCAAATGCGGTCTTAAGCCTCGCGTCGTGAGACGATTACTATACCCGAGCCTGCGAATCCCGGGCTTTATCGCGAGAGGAGTTGGAACAGAGATTACGAATCGTTAAATGACTTTACAAGTAGCATTGCGGGATATTGCGCGAAGTATTAACACGTAATATGCTTCGATACGTCTTACCGCTGTTAATTTACGTTCGGACTACGTTTCGGACTTCGTGTACGTATGGATGATAATAAACACGAATATAAATGCCCGCTTAATTCCCGAAAGCGTAATTTACATCTCGGCGGGGCGTCAACGAGTGAACACATTTTTATGAATAAGATATGAAGCGAGCGAAAATATAAATATACGCCGAGAAGTACAATTAAAGACGAACGATTGCCGCCGCAGGCTTTAATGTGATAAATCAATTTACACGTCGGGAAAACGCGAGATTCAAACCGATTTAGCCGAGACTCGAACCATGGTTCGGGTCGCGGCTAAGTTGGTTCGAGTCTCGCTCGCACTCCTTTGACGCGCAGATTTGTCACTTTAATGCTCGCGGCAATCCTTTAAGTCTTTAATTGCCCACTCATCTCTTATTGAACGAATTTATTATTTTATTATTACGAATTTATTATTATTATTCGTTTACGACTAATTTTGTTTGTGAAATTGTGCTACATAACATACACGCGTTACCGTCGAAGGTTTACTTGCTCGATGAAAGACAAAAAAAGGGATAGAAATAAAAAACACAAAAATACAAATTAAAAGGAGAAATTGAAGCAAAGGTGTCAGTCGAGGTTGAATCCGGCGGAAAACTCTTTTTCTTTTTCTCGCGACTTCCTTGATGCGCGCGCCGAGAAACGGGACTATCGCAGATAAAGCCGCGTGTATGTCGGCCGCGAGATGATTTCGCACGATGCCGTTATCCGCGAGCTACTCTAGAAAATGCGATCCTCCTCGCGGTACCGCTCGCCAAATTTCCCCGAGGAGCAGCGAAGTATCCGAGTCAACTAAATCCGACGGAAACGATCGTGGAGACCGACGAGGATACGCGAGACTTCCCGACCATCTGTAGGACAAATTGCCGCGTGGAAAAGGCAGATACAAAGCGTTACCCCGTTATCCGTCGCTCCTAAACATCTTGAGCCGCGCAAACAATATCCGGACACGCAACGGGGAAGTGATTCACTGTCTGAGAACGAACGAAGCGAGGATCCGGAAGAGGCTATCTAAACAAGAAGAAATATAAGCGGCTTTGTTTCGGAAAAACGTGCATTATCTTTTACCATTTTTTCTCCTTTATCTTTTATTTCCGCTATCATGCTCCAAATTAACCGTTCCGACTCTGACCTTCCTCTCCTCAAGGCGCATATAGATACGATGCGTACAAGACGTAATCGAATATCCTTGAAATTATAGATACACGATAGGTTTCCTCGTTCGAGCGATACACTCCATCTCGCGTCATGCCGGATTCAAAATTAAATAGAACGCGAAAAAGAGAAATCTTGACGTAGTCTGCACGTATCAACTGGATCACTCGAGAGAACCTGGCAAGGCTCCTCGACTAATAAGACGGCTCAACAAAAAATGACTTTATCTCGAATATCAGAAGGGGATCAGTCGTTTCCTATAGTCGGAACAATCGTGTTGGCCGTCGCCTTACGTGACGATCGATGTATCTCTCTTGATTAATCCAGATCTACAATAGGTATAGCAAGCCTTGAACCTTTCGCTTTGAGTAATAAAATATAAAACGTAATTTCTGACGAAAAGTTGTAGCAATGCTACCTTGGGAATTGCGACAACCTAGGAGCGCCGGGAAAGCTTTTTGTTGGAAATTACGTTGCAATTTAGCACTTGAAGCAAAAAGCTTCGGCAATGGCTCACTATATCTATTGCAGATTCAGTCTTATTCGCGTAATTCAATTTTCAGAGAGATCATCCTCTTTCTTTCTTGGATCGCCGGGAATTCCGAGTATATCGACACATCGAAGTAGAGAGCGGAGGATTGCATTACAAAGCATCTCGAACGCAGAACACGTATTGAACCGCGCAGAGGCCGTCAAAGGGTACCGTGGTGGGATCGGATCGCTGAATCGGATCGCTAGCGAATACCGAAGCGAAGTTTCCCTCCGTACCATCGAGAAGGTACGCTTTTGAAACAGCCATTTTATATCGCTTAATTATCAAGTCGAGGACGTGGGACTCGCGCGCGCAGGGATATGTCGGGATCGCGCGTACGACACGGTGGTGAAATGAAATGTGTAGTACACATACACACACGAGTTAGTAGAAAACAGAATTTACGTTCTTTCATGCACACATGATTCCATTTCATCTCATAATTTCCTCGTTATATCACTAATTATTTGCTATAATCGCTTAGCCCACGACTGTACAAATTTTCATTATTCACACCACGCGCATATCCACGTCGAAACAGGCGCTATCCGTTTGTTTACTTTCGTAATTATTTACATATCTGGTGTAGGCAGTACAAACGTACACACGCACGCCGCATGCTCATTAAAGGATTGTCTACAATAGCCATAAAATGTAAGCAAGATGTAAGCAGTAAGCTGATCGGCCAATTGGATTCTTAAAGTCCAAGAATAATCGACTGTGCTTTGGTCAATTAACTTACATTTTTATTACTTTATGGCTATTGCAGACGGTTTACAACACGCCCATTCACGCTCGCTTTAAAAAATAAGTGCTAGTGAATATAAATACTTCAAATTCGACACGTAAGCATCTGAGAAAGTCTCGAGTTTTCACTAAAAAAAAAACTACTCCCCAGAGTCATTCTTCGAGGAATATTGCAAGAAACGAGTATTGGGCGCGCTAAGGCATCAATTTTCGGCACATTCGCGTCGTAATTCCACCTTGACTTGATCACGACGAACTCACTCGCAGAAAGTGTATTGACTTGTAGTAACTAATTGCTCGTGTCTTACTGACGTTTGCGTTTCACCGTCTTGTGTCTCAGCGGTGTCTAGCAGAGCTACGCAAAGACGTTCCTTCAGTTTTCCTTAGATGCCTACGTAACACGTGTAACAAATTTGCCTATTAAATTGTTTATACCACTAAATATCTCAAGATACGCAAGATTTTGTAAAACAAAGCAAGAACCTTTGCACCATGAAACATCGTATTTTCAGCATAAATTACGCGCCTACGCTCGGAAATTGCTTATTTGTAAAATGTATACGGAATCGATATCTCGGATCACGAGAGATTACATACAAGTGTTGCTACGCAGACATTCATTTTTGTACCTTAACAGTATAATCATTTCACAGAAAGTGATAGGCTCGATCAAACAACATCGGAAACAAAGAGGCGCGGACATCATTCCCGACGAGTTTTGCAACGCAACCAGTATTTGGGCAGGAAAGTGTATCTTCTGGAAATTTCCAAACATAAGTTTTTCCATCGGATATCGTGCGCTGGACATAAATACGTCATCGCAAATCTCTTTCACACTGTCGTGAACAATAGTCAAGACTGATCACTGATGAGCTCTCACATATCGCACCTTCTCACTTCCGACTACTCTTACAAAGTTGTACACGGACTTAAGGCGCGTTGCGACTTATGCCTCACATTATGAAATCCTGGGAAAAAACCACTCATATATAATACATATAATTATACATAAATCATATCTAACTCATTATATACTTATATATATTATATATGTGACGGCTTTATAACGTATAATTATGTATGGAAAATTCTTTCCCGGGATTGCACAGAAAGAGCAACCTGATGTTATCTGTAAAACGGATTCTTCGCATATGACAATTAATAATTTATAAATTATAATTCAGTCTCTCTCACTTCACAATATCTCAGTTTTAGTTGAATTCAACACGTTCGGTGACTGATCTTTGTGCTTATATAGAATATGATTAAGTGATATACTCCATTTGTGTAATTAAAATTTCCCCAGGTACAACTTAATTTTCCATTTGTGTAGTCGGTATGCATTGCCTTACCGAAGTAAAGCTGTTATATGTCTATCGAACTACTATAAAACTATCATATGAATGCGTAAATACTGGGAGATTAATGATACCTATGTGTATGTATACAGAATGCTACAGAAACGGTGTTCATCTGCAGATTATCTTGCCAATTTTAAGACCTTTTTTTTCATAGCAAAATATCAAGAGATGTAACCATTTATCGTATTATCAAATACTAGTCTGTGTTCAATAACATATTTTTGCAGTTACATTTCAAATAAGGATTCTACACAAAAGTCAGAGTCTGTTAAAAAAATACGAATTTATTAATCGTCTTTTTAAACTTCCAAGTTTTCTTTTTTAACATCCTGTATACAATACTATGATATTCTTATGGTTCCGTACGTACGTATATACATACGTCACGCCTGGATAAAAATATTTACAAAAAAACAAATACGATTTAATCACAATAACTAAACGAACAAATGTTACATTTTGCTTTTACTTATAAAGCATATAAACTTCTTACATTTTATTTCTCTTTCAATCAAATTTATATTTAATTATTTACATTATATAAACGATTATCTGACAATATTGTCATCAGAGATCATATTTTGCAGGGTATTATTTCATTTTTGCAATAAATAATCAGAAACGGCAAATGCAACTTACACTTCCGCAAAATCGCAAGATCGGCATTGGCCGGAGAAGAAACAAAACGTAAAAGTGTTTCTTTTGTGGTTCCAACGGTATCGATCGTATCGTAACATCGTGACTGTCTACGCGATGATATCGTATGTTAATACGATATACCTATATTTTCGGCTGTTATTGCTGTAGTATGAATGATATTGTTGCCGATTGAAATTGCGACATGTTTAATCACGAAATTTGCATTTGCACTAACAAAATGAAATAATTACACCCTCGCGCAAAATCATGACCGAGAGACACGTGACTCCTTATTTTTTTTTTTTTACAGGAGACTTACTTCCGCTTTTTCACTTGACCGGAATGAAAACGGCCACCTTCACCACGAATTCTGTTCATCGCGTGTCGATGTCGGGACTCGTGAAGATATTTCTACAAAATTAAAATTCATTTACTTTTCTCTTTATATAAAAAAAAAATTAAAAAAAATATAGAGGGCATATTTTATATGTAAACATAAAATATTTATATATATATATGTATCAAAATATAATATATATTATTATTATATATTACAATATTTTTACATCTACACGACATGAAATCAATGCATGAAACAGTTTCAGAAAACTTCTTACGAACGAAAACATTCGGCAAGATGAAAAAAAACGTCGCCCTTCAATTGTTTGAAGAAAAAATAATTTATAGAAACTCCAGAAAATACATACCGGTCTCTCTTTAGGTATCTTTCCTTCGGCCTCTAATTTCGCGCGTGCCTGACGACGTTTCAATATACGCCTGTATTGTTTAGCGTTTACATATAATGGTTCTTCTTCGAGAAACTCGGCATTAGGTAAGGCGACTCTCTGGAACTGCGTCTGTCCGCTGTTTCCCGGCACCATCTATTTCATGAAAGAATTTATGTAATCATTCAATCGTCGACTCTTTCTTATTAATTGAGAAGCAATTATATGTACATCTTTGTATTCGCGGTATCATTTCGAGAAGCGTTAATCTTGAAATCGGTCTGCAACCAGACCATTTTGAGTCCAAAATACTCTTTGAAGGTCACTACAAGTTAGTATAACGTGTAGCTACTGATTGTACATATAACTTTCACAATTACCATAACAACATTTCCTGCCTGAGATACTGTTGCTGTAGGACTAGCCAGAGGCTGTACCGGCGATGTGGTAGCCGTGTTGGTGGTGGCCTGCGTCGTAGTCCCAGCGATTTGCATGAGATTGCCATTGATATTTATAACTGCGAATTCGAAAGATGCCATTACAAATCAAGATCTCTGTATTGAGCCGGAAAGTAATCCGTTTGATGTAAACAAACCTGTCGGTTGCGTCTGTTGAACTTGTCCTTCCAGCTGGACAGGTTGATAAATGTAAGTTTGTCCATCGGGTGTTTGAATGATCTGTGGCGTTTGGGGCTGCTGAATAACTATCTGCTGGCCTGTGTTCGTTAAACTGGACACAGGTACAACCTGGATCTGTCCGTTGGGAGCAGCCACCTGTATGGCCTGCGGGAGCATCATAGCCTGGCCACCCTGACCCATCTGAACGACCTGCACCGTTCCTCCCGTACCACCCACCACAACCGCCTGACCTTCGCTGAGCTGCTCCATTGCGATGTCTCACTATGATAGCAAAGGATCGTCGTCAGTAAATAAAAAAACAGCTGAGAAGGAGGAAAATTGTCACAGACGCAACGATCTCAGGCATATACGTATGGACACCTCGGATATGTGCACGCACCGACAAAATCGTGTCGTCGTCCGATTCATTATTTCTCCGCGCTCGTGGAAGGTTAACGTTAAGCTATAGCAGACGAAACATGTCGGTTGACGCGGCCGGGGAGTTCAGCGCTGGTGTTAGTGCGACTCACGCCAACGTGGCGAAAACAATGGATCGAGTCTCGAGCGAGGTCCACGTGCGGCCGGGAAGCCGGGATACGCACATACCGTCCCAAGGGTCCGAGGAGCGACATACGCAGCAACAGACGGACGAAGCCAGCCAGCTAACCGGCTGGCGAGCGTCGTCGTCTCGCGTCGAAGGCCAACGAGAGTACCGTTCGACGTCGTCGTGGCTTCCCTCGCGGCCGCGCTTCCGGGCGGCACGAGATTCGCGCGCGGCCGTTGCGACCGCCGGCGGCGGGACGACGACACCGCACCTTCCGACAACTTTCGCCATCGCGGGCGTCGTGTGGATTCCCGATGCGGGAACGCGATCTCGGGCTCCCACGGCAAACATGGCCGTACGGCCGACGGCTTTTTCGGCGCGGTGAGAGGCGCGGGCACGCGGCGAAAACGGCGGCTACGCGAAATCGGACGCTTAATAGCGGACGCGGGCGCGCGGTCACGCCGGGCTGATGTTTGATAATTTGTGAACTTACATTGGATATTTTCGTAGGCACTTTCCCAATGATTGGTCGGCAAATTGAGGACCAATGGTCGGCGATAGAGAGTCTCCCGGCACTTGTGTATTGGTGGCACTGAACGGCAAGTTCTGCCAGTCCGATCGCTGCCTGACGCCAGAACGGTCGATGCCCCTCTGCGCCTCGTAACGCACGGCCAATCAAGTGACCCGGCTCAAGCCCCCACGCCGCTCCGCAGTGGCGCGCGTTTCGAACCGTTCCTTTCCCCTTCCGACTCGTCCGTTCTCGAGCCCGTAAATTCGTCTGCGGAACGAATTCAGGAACTTTTCCTTTTCCACTTCCGTTGTTCGTTCAGGTATGCAAGCGAGCTCATTTGCGAGTTGCGTGGAAAATTCTTTTTTTTTTTATTGACGCGTCCCTTCCCTTATCGCAGACCCGCGGCTTTCTCTGCCATGGAACTTTCTACCTTTTGTTCGGTTGTAAATCAGTGTCAGAGTTCAGGTAGCGTTCAAATTACAAATTTTCCACGGCATATTGACGATAAAATACCAGGCTCGAGGTCTCGGGTGAAAAAAAAAACCTGAACAAGCGTGACGTGAACATGGTTTTTGTTCGGTTTTTTGCTCGGTTTTTCCCGAGCGAAACTCGTAATTCAACTTTTTTTGCGGAAATCGAAAAAAGACCCTTTCTCGGAATTTCTCGGATTCGTTGGTTGTTCAGCCTCGTCGAGTTAACGACACGGATTTCCAAAAAAAAAAAAAAATGGCAATTGTCTGTGATTCGATAGAATTTATTGAACAATGATAAAATAGTATTCTTCCGCTTTTACGAATGTATATACGTCGATATAGAGGACTATATGGTGACAAATTAATCTTTCACATAAAAACTGCACTAATAGACGATAATGATAAACTGTGCGGGGAATTTCCGGCGCACATCCTTAAATCCTAAACTTCGAAAGTAAAAGAGAGAAGTACCTATCCGATGATCGGACGAAGCCATTGTTATACAGCAAGCGAATATCAATATCAATATCTCGTAACATTTTGTATAATATACTACATCTTAATCCGCGTTACAATATGCGTATTCCTTCCCCTCAGCAAACGCTAGAATTGCGATTCGGCCTTAGGCCGACTTATTTTCCGAAGAGATATATGTTCTTCAGTGCAGCGTGAACGTTGAAGTCCCAGTCAGAGATGTGATAAGATTATAAGTGAATTTCGGGGACAGCCATCGATCACGATAGAAACGGCACCACCAGGTCCTCCTTATGTTGAACTTTCACATCGCCTAACGCCGTCACAGCCTTGTTGAGCATTTCAGTAATCTGCAAATATCGCGTTCACTTCGTCATATCGCATCGAAGTTGCGCCTTAGTGTACAAGTTGCAACAGCAAGCATCGCAGGAAGAGGGTAGTTTTGTGTCGCTCCTTACCAATTCTTGATCTCCACTTGCCAGGGGTTCAACTGCCAATGTTCGTTCTGGCGCAGGTATGTCCTTGAGGAAGCAAGACGCGGTCTCAGGGAGCGCAATTCTTCCCGATTCTATTCTCTTTGAATACGCACGTGCCCTGTCCATGTATTCGTGTTGTTCGAGATTATGTGAGTCTAACGCACCAACGTCTATGACGTTGCTGTAAGAAAAAACAAAGAAATGCCAGGTTCAGAGAGAGCTTGGAAAATCATAATTTGCCGGATTAACACACGTTTGTCACTAGATGACTTAAAAACTCTTCTCACTGATAGAAGTTTACAATAACGTTTACAAGCTTTCTAATTGTACACAAAGGGAAGATATATAAGAAAGGCTTTAATTGCTATGTCGTAAACAAGTCGAACCCCGACGGTGTAAAATACGGCACAATGTCGAAGACAGAACTTGTAGAAAACATTGAAAGAGAATGAAAATAAACACGCAAATTAAAAGTTTCTTTCATTAATAACGAAGCCACTTACGCTGCAGTTTCGTGTAAAATTCTATTTAATGCACTTTGTTCGTCCGTCTTTTTAGGCACAGAACTTGCATATTGGTTGACGTAATCATCGCTAAAATAGAAGAAGGCGCAAGGTTTTACTTGATCTTGCCTCTAGGTAAGTGTTCAAAATATTATAACTATTAGAACTATGAACACACAGTAAGATAAATACGGTTAATACGATAAGATATGCTCGGTGCGATAAGATATTCAGGCTAGCTGAATCAGAGATGACTCACCTATGTACTCTTAGTATATTTGTGTTGTTGCTGACAGGATCCACCAACAGGTGCGTCCTTTCGTTCGCCTCTCCACCCTGAATGAGATATGATACGAAAAATAAGTGAACAACAATAATAAACGAATACTTAAAAAGTGTGGCAGGAGTGACGCATTTTTGCCTAGCAAATTATCGTCGCTGTCGATTTCGCTGTATGTCCTCGCTATGAGAGATTCGTCATACGCAGTGTCGCCGAGTAGGCGTGTTATACGCGATAATTCGAGACGCATATAGTGATAAGACGTGAGGGGTAAAAGTAGGGAACGCGAATTCGTCTCGCGAACGGTTACCTGCGGACCGCTGTCCTCTTTACAGAAACTGTAGCAGCATCCCATACTTGAAGGGGAATAATAACGTAGCCTTTTCGGTTAACACAGTACAACCGTTATTGCAAGTGATTTTTCATGTTTGCGCTGGTAAACAATCACATGGATCAGCTGTCGTGTCGTCGCAGGACTATGCGCCTTGAAACGATACATATACACACACGCAATTTCTCAAAATACTAATACGCTACTCCAGAGTGCGTAGAATCGTCGTCAGATACGAAAATCGAAGGCACCGCGAGTGCCGGGCGTGTGCGGCGCCTCTGGCGGCGCTGGCGACAATCCGGGAATGTAACCTCAATTTCTCGAAACCGTCGAGTAATGCGCTAAAACCGGGGGTAACGCTATTTTATGCGCGTTCTGTATTATACGCCGAACACGCTCGACGAACGTTGCTGGCGGGAACTGCTGCTGTGAAATGAGAAATGCGTCGTATCGTAGAAAAATAACAAGCGAGAGCCGATGTTCGACGTGTATCTAACATCGAGATAAGTTCTATGTACACGTGTACACCGAGTCAGTGTTAAATTATTCAGTACGTCAGCCGGATTCAGCGTAAAAACACCGACGTTCACACGATCCTTCTAATTTTATAACTTTCACACAATAAACAATCATGTCAGGTACAAAGGTAAGCTTGATATTGACAGCAATAATTCGATATCTATATTTACTCGCATATATGTATATATCAACTTGCTACATAAAGTGTATCAACTCTTTTTGTTACGTTGATTTTAGGAGTTGACAGAACTGCAGGTGTTCAAGACGGTCTTGTATCACAGTGTGGTAATAATTGCATTACCTGTGATATCGTTTTTCACAAGCAAGGTTTTCTTCTTTGATGGTACGAAATATACATGAGAAAGTCATGATAAGTTCATTACTAAATTTGTTATATAACTGCCAGGAGAAAAATCATATTTCTGTATTTTCGTAGCTGAAATATTGTTTTGATGTATCTTTACCTTAAATGACTGACTAACGAAAGCTCTGCAATTTATTTTCAGGTGTATTGGGACTGAACCATGTGCCAAGTAACGTGTACTCTGCTGGTGTTGCAGTTGTAGTGTTACACATTGCCTTAGGGGCTTTTATATACAGAGCATACTTTGACGATCAGTCCAGGACACCAACTAAGAGAGATTAATTCTTTATTATTAAGTACACCTTGGTGATCATTTACGACATAATCACAGTCAATAAATTTAGTTTCGACATTATTCAACTGAAACCTCAAAAGATATGCTGCGCATAAACAGCATTTATCGATATAATTTACCTTACTTTTGCTTTAGCCAAAAGGTCAGGTAACAGCTAGAGTTTTTTTCACAAAAGTAACGGATATAATATGATCTATGTTATACAATTCATGTGAAAAATAATTATCATAAGGTATAACTTACATTCCAAAATTCATTCGAACTATATTGTGCAATGCCTGCGATTTATACTTTAGGTATGCCGTTCGATCTTCATGCGATTGTGAAAATGTTGCTATAAATTTCCGTACCAAAGCAAAAATACAGTAAAGTAGTGCATTGCGCCTATTGAATATATTATTTTTTCCAATAAAGTGTAGATTATTATAATTCATTTATCCTTGTGTAGGATAAGTTATAAGTAACCATGTGGCAACGTAAGTTTTTAACCAACAATTTAAACTCTCTTATAAATTGATAAGGTTGGTATGGTTCATAAGGATAAATAATAAAATAGATGTCCATATTTCATTCTTCTTATTCTTCTTATTTTGGGAATCATTGTTTGGGTTTATAGATTTACAAAAAAACAAATTTCAAAGATTTACCCTACATATCAAGCATAGCGGCTTGAACATTTCAAAACTTGCTTTTTTTGTAAATTTAAATTTAAACAAGACAAAGTGCAGAGTAATAAGAAGCTAATGACGGAATACTGAAGTAAAAAAAATGGTTTTTAAATTCATTTTGTCATAACCGTTTATCTCGGTCATTAAAAGCCACTAATCGGCCATTTATTTTCCATATATTGACGATGAATATCGTATAAATATCTATCAGAGAAATGCCTTAAAAAATATAATAGTCTGCACGCTATAAATTTATCTTTTAGGACACGCAGAATTCGAAATGCATTAGAATAATTCGTGTATTTGCGTAGAATTTAAGATACAAAAAGACATCGTATGTCGGGAACTTGTATCAATCAATGAAACAAAGTGTCTAATCGTTCCTTACATTTTGTCTATCTAACAAATTCTTTACACTTTGCTAACGTAGGTACATTATACGTATGTAATAAGTAGATTGCGACACTTAGCTGTTAAAAGCAAAGTTAGGCACAAGAGTGAAATATGGACTTCCTGTTCTTGTGTATTCTAGGAACAACTAAATTTGCGATATAAGACTCTATATAAGTGTGTTGTGTGACGAGTAGTATAGTAATATAAATATGATTGGGATAAAGAAATATACTGTCATTATGTAGATGTCTACAAGTTATTTACAATGGTATATCTAGATAAAATTTTAATTTCCTCACTTAGAAAGTGACTTCTTTTTTCACTTAGAAAGAAAAAAAAAAAGAATGATTCAAGTCGCGATCCGAACCGAACAATTGCAGTCAATTTCTAATATCTTCATAGACGCTCAAACGTTTCAAATGGCAAAGCAAAACTTTGCGATTTCAATCTGTGAAACATTAATTTATTTAATTATTGTAAATGCAAAACAAAAGAGAAAAGACAGAATATTTGCTGTCAGCCATGAATAATGTTGGAATGAACAACTGTTGTATTAAATACAATCGCCAACGATATATTACCTAGACTCACAATTCAATTTAGTCATTAGAGATTTAACTTAGTATTCGAGCACTACATGAAAGGTCGCAACATATTAATTCTCCCTACTGGCAACAGTATCTATAGTTTTAAAGTTTCGGAAAAAATCGTTTTTCTTTTCGTTTCTCCGCGGTTTTTATCTTCACCGGGAAAAAAAAAGAAATAAATGTGGTAGGTTTTAACCTACTACACGAGCGTACGTGATTTTTCTGAACAAATTTTTGTACTTTCGAGACAGAAACTGCTGAAATTCGTGGAGAAATGGGACAAAACGGGTTTTTCAACTTTAAAACTATAAGCAATAGTTTCAAGGATCTTTTTCTAATATCCATTCAGAATGATACAGTTACTTAGAAGCGTACTGAAAACTTAGAGAAAACCAAGAGACTCTTAAAAATAAGAAAGCTTCATTATTTGGGCTTTCAAGGCGCTGCTATGCTTGTGTCCAAAATGGTAATTATATACTATCACGAGTGTCAGAGAAAAGCTGCATTCAAACGAAAATAGATTTTGTGACGCACATTCCTTCGTAGATATTTTAGCTTTCAATACACTTGCGCATACGTGGTACATACACTTCATGAAATAAGCGTTACGTAGAAAAAAAAAAAGAGAAAGAGACGGATTGTGTGACAACCATGTGTGCAAAAATTCCGAATATGACATGTCAGGCGCTTTTGTGACACGATAAACACAGTTTTCCAAATGAATTATTCACTATTTCTCTTCGAATTATGATAGATTTAATAATATTAAAACCACATAAATTATGGTGACGTTACTCAACGTCCATCTTTTCCTCTTGCTCTGTCTGTTGATTGGTGTGATTGTGAGCGTTAGCTTCTCTATTTTGATTATTCATCTTCTGTTCGTCGGCATCTTTGTCTTTTGGTTTCTCTTCTTTCGGCGGTTCTGCTTTAGGTTTAGGCTTGTTGAGGATAGGTATTACCACGTTGTCCAATGCCTGTGCGACGAATGAACGCGGACGATGAGAAAATGACGAGATGGTACATTCGAGCAAAACTTACAAAGGAGAGAAAAATAAATCAATCGATCTCTCTCGACGCTCACCTGTTTCTCGGCGCGAATCTGTGCCACGGTGATCGGTGGTTGTTGCGTGCGTGATATACTCGCAAGTACCATACGCTTGTCTTCCAACCACGTCCACTTCTCTTGCACCGCTTTCTCAATTTTCTTCACCTCTTCCTCCGTCAGATGAGAATACTTATCGTCTTTCGGATTCGCCGCTTTGATCTGATCCAGGCTTTTCTTAGCCAGCTGTAATGCCCCTCCCAGTTCCTCCAGTGCTTGAGATCGTCCTTCGAACTCGGATTTCCTTTCCTTTATCGGTTCACCTAGAGACTGACAAGGGAATGGCAATTGAGAATTTCGGAAAACAATAACGGAGGGAAGAGGGAACGACGTTCAGCGCATAAACCGTCAAATTGTCAGCGGGCGATCTCATTAAACGGCATACCTTCAAGCGCGTCAATCGTTCTGAGTAGACTTGTCGCTGACAATCCTCTCCTTCGTCATAGAGCCAAATTTCAGTAACATCTAATGTACAGCTAAGAGACTCCTTATCCGCTTCCGTGATAAATGTTGCCAATTGATCTTCCTCGGACAATTTAGAACGTAGGTCGTAAACGTATTCCTCCAGTGCATTGCGCGCGTCAACCCGCTCTTTTTCCTGCCTGTCTTCGGCGGTCATTTTGCCCTGTTCGTGTGAAAAATGCACGTGATTACATAACGATGTGACATCATACCTGGAGAAGTTTTTTCTCGTCGCTACAATTTAAGATGGAGCAGATAATGCATATTATATAACACTCGAGTCGTACGATGCATCGTGCGTCGAATGATTACCTCCTTTTCCATCGCGGAATCGAGATCTCGCAGAGAAAGTCCGCAAATGTTAGCCTCGATGGGTAAATCGACCGTACGAACGGAAACCTTTTTCTTGCCTTTCTCGTCACCCTTATCGTCACCCTGAAACAAAAAAAAATGACCCGTCAAATATTAACCGATACATTTCCTAAGACTGTGTTTTGCGCAAGCCTATAAAAAAATGTTCGATCACAAGTAAGTGTTGATTATCTCAGTCATATCGTCGGTCAACTTTCCATGTTCAGTAACGAACACGCGTTTCACCGACTTATCTGCCTTTTTTACGCAGATCGGCTTCTCATACTGCGATGGGAGTATCTCTTGCAAATAAGAGACTTCTTACGTAGCGACGAGCACTTACCTTGTCGCGATCACTTTCTTCAAACGTTTCTTTCGTCCCTAATAAGATGATAACAAATATCTTACATATGCGATTTTTACATCGCCGTAATTTTACGAGACTTCTTTTTTTCTTAACACAAGAAATACACTAAACCAAGTCTGTACAAAGAGAAGAACTAAACTGGAATTCTTCAGGTGATGACAAAGATGAGGCAAAGATAATGGGGTATACACTTTTGTGTGTACAGTTTTCAATCCGTATTACATCACATTACGCCATATCGCGTAATAGATGGAGTAACAATGATTCAAGTCAAACTTTGTCATCTGCACTTTCGCACGTGCGTAACACAGGGCAAGTACACACTTCTCTGTACGAATGGAAAACTGTTCAGCGTGCCTGCCTTTACAGCTTAGGACTATTCTTGTATATGTTATATGCTGCTCGATAAAAAACGCTCTATCCTTCTATGAAAACATATCACTGTCTCTTTTCCTTCTGCGACCCAGTGAGTAGAATAGCAGAGCAAAGACAGACAGCACGGCGTGACACAGCTGTTCTTGGACCCATATGCATTTATATATGCAAAATACTGTTAAGGAATCAAATAATATGTCACAATCTATCATACGGATCTATGTTATAGATACTGCGATATATTACGTCATATCTCATAAAGAAAAGCAAGCCGGTCTTTATCTAGACTTTTATAATGCCGCTGGATAGCCGAGTTTGCAGAAGAAATCGACACAGGGTTTCAGACTCTACGTCTAACCAAACGTCATGCATTCCGATACGTACGGCCGATAATCACAACATTCTACGGGCTTCTAATACGCCACAGTAAAATAGCTTGCACTATCTACTCGTATCCTAAGAGAAGTTAATGCACATGAGTAAATGATAATGACGATGATGACGGTGATGGTGATGATGCGGTTTGCAAATCCTAAAATGCGGAGGAACTGCGTACTATGAATTGGCGTTGCAGAGAGGAGAATGAGAAGGTATAATATATCAGAAGCAATATCGTTGTTTTGTTAAACAAACGTCACCGAAAATGGTCCCGGAGGAGGCCCAACGGAAGATGCACGAGATGTTAATCCAATTAAAACGCTAGAAATAAAATGTGAGGAGATGCGTTTAGTGTACTAAATTGACGACGACGATGAGCGTGTGTGTGTGTTTATATGTATTATATATGTGTGTGTGTGTGTATGTCATTTGCGTTATATAAGGCGGTTGCGATTATTGTGCACTCGTTGTTGCCATGAGGATTGCGTCAGATTGATTTCCGCTTCAAGGTGAGCAACAAAGCTTTTAGCGTGATAGAAAGGAGAGAATACCTAAATCATCGTGGCCCTAAACTATGAGTGAAGGGGGAGGGGGGGAAGGATGCTCACGATTATTAACTGTCGCAAGGTAACAACAATGCAACGATTAAGCTTAGAATTTGGCGCAGAGTATGACTCAATCTCGACATATGCGTATGGGTCCAAGTAGAGATAGTATGCCCCATACCGAGCTGAACCAAGAGAGAATCCTGGAGGAGTAGGAAGGGGCGGAACCCCTAGCGCCTCTTCCACCGTCATCAGCATCTGAGTTCCGTCGTGTCTTATCCATGCTCACCTAAACCACAATAAACTTACAATCATGCACCTGGACGCTGCTAAATAACACGTGTTGGATGTTGCAGCAACGGGATTTGATTCGAAATTACGGTATCAAATGTAATATCACACAAATATGTATACTTCGTATTGACGATGCGTGGCGAACGATTTGTCAATCGAAATCGGTGTTACACGCTAATGTCGCTTTATCCACACGAGTGTGTCACAATCGATGGTATATGTTCATGTAATGACGTGACTACGAACCTCCGTTGCTGGTGGTTCGTTCGCCTGCGCGTCTTGATCGGATTTGTCCTTCTTCTCCTGCTGCTGATCAACGTCCATGTTGTTCAGCTGCTGCTGCTGCTGTTGGGCATCCTCTTCCTCCTTTTCCTGCTGGGTCGGCTCACGTTTCTCGATGAGCGACGCCGACGAGATGGTCAAAATGCCGTTCAGATTCACCCTTACTTTCACTTTGACCTTCGCCGACTCGCCCTCCGGCGTAGCTCTTATATTCTTTATCGTAAACGTTCCTGCATGAGACGCGAATATGTAATGTAGGAGATGAACGAATCGCACGTGCGTTTCTTCCAAAATATCGCTTTTATCAATTTAAATGAAAAAAAAAAAAAAAAAGATTCACGGAGGGAAACATCGTAGATGAAAACAAACGAAAACGAATTTGCGTACCGATGCGCGTCTGAGGATAATAAGGAGGCGGCAAACTGTAACTGGCAGTGAGCACAAACGGGCTCGTGCGATAGAATGTCAGCATCTTCGAGAACGGTACAGCATGATTGTGCCCAAATACTTCCATTTCTCTGAAATATCAAGTGGAGTGTCAGAAAAAAAGGCCATTAGGTGAAAACGTGACGTCAATGATTAAAAAAAAAACCGAGAAGCGCGTACCCTTCTTCGCCTTGAGTAGCGTCCCACGTCAGTTTCAAAGGGTACGGCTGTATATCCGTAACCGAAAATTCACGGACACGCACGGCAGGACTGAGCATAGCGCACTGCAACGCGCAACCGCGAGCGACCGATTCGTCCTGGTTCAAGGTAGTCGACACCGGCCGGCCGAAAATTTCCTCTACCAAACGTTTGATAGCAGGGACGCGGCTCGACCCTCCTGCCAGCTCGACCGCGTGAATCTCCTCGAGCTTCAGTTCTGAAAGAAAGAAAAGAAAAATGCACGAAACTCATTGATACAGAAGGACGAAAAGACCGAATGCGCGACTCTTTCTGCGAGACGCGGACTTACTCGAATCGACCAGGCATTGAACAAAAGTCGCCTCGATGCGCTTAATCAGATGACTGCATAGATCCTCCATCTCGGTGCGCTTGATCTCAGCGTGCACATCCTTCTCATCCATAAAGCACTCGATATTCAGCGGCAGGGTGGTCGAATTAACCGACATCTGTTTCTTCAGTTTCTCCACCTCCGCGAGTAGTCTTAAGTACGCCCGGGGATTGGTGTGCACGTCGAGATTGTATCGCTTTTTAAACACCTGGCAGAAGTGTTCCGCCAAAATACTGTCGATGTTTCTACCACCCAATTGACTGTCAGCGGCGCTTGACAGCATCTTTAATAATAATGGAGCAAGGATAACAACAGGATCAAGCGTCTTCGGATGAGAGATGCGCACAGAGATGCGAGATGGGAATATTAGCGTATTAATGGGAAATTAAACGGATACTTACCTTAAGTTTGCCTTTATGAAAGGCACAAATGCTCACTTGCAGGCCGGCCTGGCCACAATCCACGAAAACGACGTTCCTTGGGGGCGCGTCTGGCGCCGGCAAATCCTGCTTATAAATACCATAACAAAGAGCAGTAGCGGTGGTCTCGTTGAATAATCTTAGAACATTAAGGCCTGCAATCCTAGCGGCATCGAGTAGAGCCTGACGCTCAGACTGAGTGAAGTATGAAGGAATTGATATAACGCAATCGTTAACAGCAGTTTGCAGCGCTGTCTCGGAAATATCTTTCAGCTTCGTGAAGAGCATAGCGGTAATTTGCTCCGGCGAGAAAACGTGTTCCTCCCCCTGGTATTGTACCTAGAACAGGAATAAGCGTTTGAATGAAGTTCTTCAACAATACGGAGAACCAGGGAAACCACGAAACAGTTTGTCATTAACATTTCATGTCGCACGAATTTATCAACTTATCAACAATGCACGCTCGATTCTACACAGTGCAAGTAACATTAATGAATCATCCGTGTCGTAGATTCTAAAAAGATATAAATAAGATATGAGTCTCCAGAAATGAGAGAGTCCTGGCAAGGTGCCTAGATTACTTTCGATTCGTGGTCATTGAATTATACGACGAGGGGAATTATTGCGACGGTTGAAATACTAAACAAATCTACATCGTTTGAGAGATTGTGAGGGAGTTGAAAAATGCCAGTCAATGATTTCCCTGCACACGTATATACAGATACTTCACATGGATGAAAACACAAGTGAAAACTCTTACATACAGCAAATAGTCATATTTTCGTATTCTTTCCATTGCGACTGCGGATATAATATTCAAATTTTCTTACAAGCAGCACAGAAATGGATTTACAAAGTCATCCTCTCTTCTTGCTTGGTGCGAACACTTACATGTATGCCGATGCTCCCATCAGTTTGTTGAGTCATTTTAAAAGGTAGAGTCTGCCGCTCACATTGAACTTGTGGATCATTATATTTCCTACCTAGTAGCCTTTTGAAATTGTAAATGGTGTTTTTCATATTCGTCACCATCTGGTTCTTGGCCGCTACACCAAGAATCCGGCTCTTTCTACCAAACGCAACGCATGACCTGGGAAACATTGCACACACATATTGAGACTGCTCATTCCTCTCGATGGTATTTAAAGTTTTTGTAATTCTGTAGATAACATGACCTAATATATGTGGTTACTTTTTGTACTTTATACTTGATTGACATTGTATGACGCGGCTATTTCAGCGTACTTACATATATACGTGCTTCTAGATCTAGATTTCATTGACCTGATCTATGTTTAGATAAATCAAAACTATACCATGTGTTCATTGATTTAAGATGTAAATTAATCGTACCACTACAACACGTATGTTACCTCTAATATGCAATTCAAGATTTGCATAAGAATACACAAGTTGAAATAAACAATTGTTACTGTTCTGATCGCTACATCTTATGCCGATTATTATAAAGATAACAAATATATAAAGTAGATATATATAATATATAATACATGTAAAAATTATTGCCCGTGGATCGATTATAAATTTCCAAGGAATCTTTACATAAATGTTTCATATTAATATTCACAGTTTCCTCAGAAAATGCTCGAACAGTCTGAAAAATGTTCATACACGAGCGCATTTCCGCACGTGTATAATTGCGGACAATTTAATATATTATCGACGCGAGGAAAAAATGATGTGGGTCGCAACGGCTGCAGGGGATAAAAATATAAGCGCAACTGACAATTCCAAAAGGAATGCAAAGAAACGGGCGGCAGCAGAACGCGCGCAAGCGGTGAGCGGGACTTTTTAGGGATACTCCGAAAACACGTGAACACGCGTGTGACAGCGGTATTGGCATGGCAATGAGATGCCTGTAAATGGCAATGTGACCGATGTCCTCGGGAGCGTGATAATCCGCGCGCGTATTCACACGCGAACGCCCTTGTTCTACTGTTCTACGTTACATTCCATTGATATCTCGTTAAAATTGCGAGAGAAACGAGAAAGAGAGAGAGAGAAAGCCGATTGCGTTCAGATTCGGCCGAGCCGTGCACGCGAAAATGATCCTTACGTCCCTCCGTGACGACCTCTCGCACGCGACGCGCAAAAGTGAGGCAATTTTTCCTCATTCTCGGGCACGATGGGGAGGAAATTCAGTCGAGCGAAATTCCGGAGAATGAGAAACTCGAGAGGATCGCGAGGATTAAGGCAGGATTACGTCGGCAACCTGCCCGGAACAATCGTCGCGAACGATGACGGTGCCTCCTGGATCGCACGCCAACACACGGGCCGAGGCCGATAGATGGAGAGAGGAAAAAAAAAAAGGAGAAAGAGAGAGATCGCGCGGCCAAACTCAGGTTAGAGGTGATTCACGTCGCGGTTGTGGGACATGTAAATCGCGCAAGGCGAAGGCCACGAAGGTTCGCCGGTAGCCGATGTGAGAGAAAGAGAGGGAATATCGATGGGCATCGGCGGTCTCAACGAGCGAGAGAGAAAGAGAAGGACTTACGGTGTGTTGCGGAGGCTATAATCGTTCGTTACAGTTTCAATGCCACCCGCGCGTGCTACGGCCACATAGCAGTTGTCGTTCCCGAAGTCGATTCCGATCACAGACATCGCAGCCATGGCTGGTGTGCTGGGGGCCGAATCGGCACTTCGTCTCTGTGGCACCGGGGGCGGATTTCTCGCTGTTCTCTGGTCGACAGAGAGGGAGAGAGAGAGAACGAGAGGTCCCTCTCAGACGTACGTGAAGCCTACGCGGGACCGGAGCACCGAGATAAGCAGCGAATTACAGCGTCGTAAGGCAATGCGACTGATTTTTCGCCACAACTCGCGATCACGAGTAAGAGCTCGCCGATGATATGCTCGTGCGCGATGCCTCGCAAGAAATGATCTCGCCAGCACTGCCTTCTGCTGAGGTCGCTTCAAAACTGACCAATCATGGCAGCGCTGGGCGGTCGCGGCGATTGGCGCGCCGAGCCGCCTGGAATATTCTGGAAACCCGCGAGATTGGCCGATTCCGCAGGATCTCCGGCCGGACGCGCGTTTTCTCGAAAAATCGAACATCGCCGGCTCGCCGACGCGTCGCACGATGGGCCGCCTCGCGCAGCGGCCGACTCCGCGATTCACGTTTCGCCGAACAGATTGCGATCCGACAAGCCGCGAAATTAATGTGCACGCGGGGCCGTGCGACGGTTCGTATTCGAGCGGAACTGACGGAAACGAAACCCGCGGCGACGTCGCGCAATATGGCGGCCGACGGCAAACCGAGAAGTCCGAGCGACGTTTTCGAATATTGCGCTTGCCGATCGGCGACGCCAGGCGAGATATCGCTAATTTTGTCGGCCCACCGCGAATTTCCCCGTGTCTTTCCTCCTCGTATCGATGTCCCTTCTTTGTGTCGATCTTCTCTTCGCGCTAGTTTCTCTAGTAATCGCATTTTTTTCTTATAGAAATACTATTACAGGAACACGCACGACATTGTGTGAGCCGAAAGCGTTATATAGAAACTGCGATCAATTTCAATGGTACTTTTTCATGGAGGGATATAGAATCGCGGATGAAAAGGCGTGGTAACCAGAAAGTGATATCAGAAAGTGGCCTGTAATATGGCCGGAATAAACAACGTCAAAATTAAAATCGTCGGTTTGAAAATTGTACGATGATCGCTACGTGCAATCCGCGTGTTTTGCCAGTAAGAAAATGAATATAACCACGGTGCCACCTGGCTTCTCGAACCATTTGACGAAATTGTCGTCGTACTTTAAGTCATGCCAAACCACCCACGATGCGAATAGAGAACCATTAGCGGAGCGTCGTTACGCTTCGAACTCGCGACGGTCCCATCGATCGGATGTTGTGTGTCAGTGCGGTTTTTACGTAAATATATAAGCTAACGGGAAATAAAGCGCGTCGTTATAGCAACAATCGGTAATATCTGATCGTTGAATCTAACAGCAGCGCGGAAAATCGATCCCCGTTCACGTTCGCAGCGGTCGTTCGTGATCACTCGGGGTTTTCGAAGGATATCGGCCTGCAGAAACATAACCTCGTATCGAAGGCCCGACGGACCATTATGCGAGATGTCACGTTTATGTAATTTGAAATTATACTCGGCGATGAATAGCGCGAAAACATCAGCCGCGCTTTCTAGCAAATTATGTTTTATAAGTGGACGCAAGGATATTCCTCGTCCAAACTGTACAGGTTATGTCCACATGTGCATGTCAAAGCGCACACTGTCGACTTATCCGCTGCACGGATTTCTGAATGGAATATTGTTCAATTGTCCGCTAACTGTGGCAGCAATTGCGAGAGAAAGATATGCAAGACATGACAATAAGTCTAACAGAAGACGCTCCAAGTATCTCCAAGTGCTTTTGGGTAGTCTTGGCTTCATAGTGGCATCTTGTGATTATTCGCGTTATAAAGGTATGTTTATTGATTATGCATTGGTAAATACTATATATGCATACGTATATCTGTGTGTGTTTCTGTGAGTAAATATAACCATATAACCATGCGATGAATTGCAGAGGAAAGATTTCTACACGCTGCCCAACATGGTGATGTTTTGAAATTGAAGAAAGTAAGTTTTTTATAGGACAGCACCAAGATATTTAATGACTAACCTGAAACTATCTTATGCCTATGAAATTGACTTAGAACCATGCTCTCCACAATTCTTTGCTTATTGTTTACTTTGACAGATAAAAAATAATATTAACGTCGTCAAGTATTCAACCACAACTGCTTATTAAACATTCAGTGAACTTTTGGGTCTGTTTAGTTTTGTATTTTTAAATCTGATCTCAAATCTGAAACTATATACCAAAACCAGATCCAAGAGCTCTCTGAGCAGTTATGCTCAGCTTATGTTCAGTTAGCATCAGTTATTGAATATAGTATTCTTTGATATAGTATGGAGACATTATTGAAAGGTAATGTCGTACAATGATATTCTATATTTCAGGCTATAGCAGATGGTATTAACATAAATGTCAGGCATTCATTGGGTTGGACAGCATTGCAGGTTGCTGCTGTAAATGAACAAACTGAAATTCTGAAAATTCTGTTGGATAATGGCGTTGATATAAATGCAGGGGACGATTTTGTTAGTGCAAATAGGCTTGCCACGCAGAAGGGCGTTAATTTTATAGAAGGTATTTATAACACTAATATAAAAATCGATACATATAAATAATTAGTATATATGATGATAATTATTTAAAAAATATATAGTGTATCTATAGTTTATTTATCATCGTTGCTATGATATTTATTAATGGCGAATTTTTGAGAATATTTTGAGATAAAAATCCCACTGCTAATATTATTTAAGCTTATTAATATAAAACTTAGGTTATTGAGTAATTGTTATTGATTTCAATCTTAGTCCTTATGAAAAGAGAAGAAGAATTCTCTGCTCAACTAAACAACAGGGCTACTTTTCGAGGTTTCACAGCGTTGCACTATGCTGTGTTGGTCGATTCGAAAGCGTGTGTAAAGGTATTGTTGGAGAAAGGAGCGGATCCAACGATAGAGAATGAAACAGGTCATCGACCGATTGATTATGCTAAAGAAGGAGAAGTCAAGGAAATGCTTGTCGAATATTCTATTAAATATGATCAACTATTGAAAGAAAAAGTATATACTGCTACTTGATTTTTCTCTATCTGTGCACAACATGCACGCAAAATGTGTGAAATTTGTTTGAAGAGGAAAATAATAAACATGTAAATTGAAATGTCTTACCTAGGAAGCGGAAGAACGACGTAGATTTCCACTGGAGCAACGTCTAAAGCAACACATCGTAGGACAGGAGGGACCAATTTCTATTGTTGCTTCTAGTAAGACAATTTTCCTTGTATTTATTATAAAGTAATGCAATTGAAAACGCATTTGTGTGCTAAAAAAATATTCTTCAATATCGTTAGCTATTAGAAGGAAAGAAAATGGTTGGATAGATGAGGAGCATCCACTAGTATTTCTCTTCCTGGGTTCGTCAGGCATTGGTAAGACGGAATTAGCTAAGCAGTTGGCAAGTTACATTCACAGAAACAAAGCAGACAGTTTTATCCGACTGGACATGTCGGAATACCAGGAGAAGCACGAGGTCGCAAAATTAATTGGAGCACCGCCGGGGTATATAAATCTCTCACTCGCTGTTATCGTCGCTTCAATTTCAGCATCTTCCGAATTTTGCACGTTAAGGATATTGAAAATTCAACGATGTAACGTTAACAATCAAACTCATTATCTAGATACGTAGGACACGATAATGGCGGGCAGCTGACGAAACTTCTAAAAAAGTGTCCCACTGCCGTTGTATTGTTCGACGAGGTTGACAAAGCGCATCCCGATGTCTTAACTGTATTGCTACAGCTCTTTGACGAGGTATTTACTTGCCGCTTATATCACTCGTCTATCTTGGCAGTTTCTGATTACGCAGAGCACCATTGTCTTTTTAAGGGAAGACTGACCGATGGCAAAGGGAAAACGATCGAATGCAAAAAGGCTACTTTCGTAATGACGTCGAATTTAGGAAACCAAGAGATCGCTGAGCACGCGCTGCACCTCAGAGCAGAATCTGAAAGGCTGTTAAAGCATCGATTAGAAAACATTACCGATGAGGATCAAGAGCCGGAGCGTATTGAGATATCTCGTAATTTTAAGGATGAAGTGGTATGTGAAGTGAAAATGAGATATCTCTTTTGCACGTACTTCCGAGTCGCGCACGCGGTGGTGTAATAAGATCCCTTTGCAGATACGTCCGATATTGAAGGCGCATTTTCGCAGGGACGAGTTCCTAGGAAGAATAAATGAGATCGTGTACTTTCTGCCATTCTCTCGAACGGAACTAATCAAATTAGTCACCCGAGAATTGGAAGCCTGGGCTATACGCGCAAAAGAGAGGCACATGATCGAGTTGAAATGGGATAGAGAAGTCCTGTCAGTATTAGCCGATGGATACGACGTTCATTATGGCGCTCGTTCCATCAAGTACGAAGTGGAAAGACGCGTCGTTAATCAGTTAGCCGCAGCTCACGAACGAGGACAACTCAGTACGCAATTCTTTCTTATCTACAGTCCGACTTAAGCATTGCGCAATCTCCGTTGTAATACAAAGTTTTCTGTTTACAACAGGTAAAGGTTGCTGCGTATTATTGAAAACACAGTGGCACGAGAAGAGCGCGAGCATATTCCTCTCTGTTCGACAAAAGGGTTTGAAAAATTTCGTCGATATCGGAGAAACGGATAATTTGGTGAAAAATGTCAAGTTAACATTTTAATAATGCAGTTAGCATGGAACGTCAAGTTTCGATTTCATTAAAACGCGAATAACTAATGATACTGTTACGATATCATATGTAAATGTATAAATTACACTTTTTCTTTCTTTAGTTCAAATTGCATTCAATCAAGGAGCTTATCTTGCAGTTAATTAACATAAATCTTTCGAACATGCATAGATCTCTAACTAATATAGATCTCTAACCAATAGATCTTTCTCAACTATCCGTCATCAAATAAGATTTTAGGAATACAACGCTTCTCTGTACACTTTCTGTTCACGATGCGATTAGATTTATCTGTCTCAATTTTATTTTGCATACATTCTATGGTAAAGATATTAATCGCAAATTAAAATATTTATTACAGTCAACGTGTTCTGGTCAGGAGTGTGATGCGATAGATAAGATATAAACAATTTTATGTTGCTGATATCGTAATGAAGTGTCTAATTCAATGTGATACTAAGTAAAGAAATAAAGAATATTTTGTAAATAAAGAAATAAAATGTTTTTCTCTGATTTGAATTTAGACATTGGTTTTAAAATCTGCGTGTACAGCACGCGTACATGCGAAAGTAGCAAATAAGCGGGGGGAATTTCCGGCGTCGGATGAAATACATCGGGCTCTTCTGATGTAAATAAGTTGATCTTTATTTTATTAATTAAGTTATGATTGGATCGAGAGTACATTACAAGAAAAATATTCAGATTATACGTCACATTTAGAATAACATTATTTACTTTTTACGATGAACGGGGAGACGGGAGACTTATCTTCGAAAGCTCCTCGAAATCTGTCGCAGGAAAACATTCCATTTACCTTACTTTAGAATCACAAGTAAAGTAAACTCCCTATCCGATATTGGCAGGACGAATATGGCCATTTACACTTTTAGATCTCATGTTAATTAAGATATTAAGTGAGGCTCTTCTTGATTACAATCGTAAAATGCAAGGCAAATTCAGGTCCATCAATAGATGTGTATGCGTGTGTGTGTGTGTGCGCGTGTGTATGTGTGTGTCTGTTAATTAAAGAGAGCCGTAACGAGTCTTTTCATTCACATAAGAAAATATAACGACCCGCGTGGAATCCGAAATGATGACTGATACCAGTGATATCGGTTTCTCTTTTCTGAAGAGTTTCCGGCATAGACATCAAATAAGTCAGGTTGCTTTCCACTTTCTAGATGGTAATCTGACGTAAGCTTCGAAAAATTGAGCTTCTTATGTATAATAAGACCTCATGAATATATTTTATAAAGAACTTTCCCTTCACCTATACGCGCGGTAGAATACAGTAATATCGAAAGTGCATTTTCACACAGCAGACACTCAGGATGATTGTACGACGGTAAATATATAAGGACATTTTTCTCAAGTTTATATTTATATAATACAGCGCAGAGCTGGAAAAGTGAGAATCAGCAGTAGCTTTGGCATTCGGTAGAAAAAGTAAGAAAAAAGAAGCGATTGTCCGTTCGCGACACGAGTCTTTCAGTTACAATTTGATTTAAATAACAAAAACCGAATGTCAAGAAAGAGACACAAAATGTTAGATTTAACTTTTGGTTATTTTCTTATTGATTTATAAATTATTATTTTATCTTATTACGAAATCTATTTACCCCCCTTTCCGTAATCCTTATATTGATAAAAACTCGACTCTACTAAAAATTTGCTCAAGTTTTTAAAACGATCTTCTCCCTATTACTGATGTCCACTTTTGCAGTCGCGGCCTGTATTCGATTCTTCTTTAACATTATCATATACTTCTTGTAATATATAGAATAATAGAAATACCGTAAATATATATATAAGAGTTAAGCGTACGATTCAGATTCCGCTTCCGTGATGAAGCGTTTCTTCTCATCTATAAGTTGTTAAATTATCTCTTTTGTATTTATTTATTTTATATATAGACTTATATATCTTCATTATATGTATATAATATATTTATATCTCATATATATTTTTAATGTTTACCAACATTTAATTTTCTTTCTTTTCAACAAGGATCACAACATTGCAACTTCGAGTGACGAACCAAAAGACACTTAAAACGCAATGTTGTACAACGTATGCACAACTAGATGCTCCAAAAACTGACAGGCTTATCAATTCAAATGTTCAAACGAGGAAACAACAGATTTGCGATGAAACTATAACTTATCAGTATGATACGATGGATTCAAGTCGGATGGACATTTCATTTATAATTCTTAATTCGTGAAGTGACGAAATACGACACAAGTTAGGAATTAGGGCAATTTAGAAACATTTCAACGTGTGGAAGATCCCGACACTTTTATAGCGATTATCGATAATTATTGTACAATTTTCAACGGTTTTTGTTGCACAAATATACATATTACGAATGGGTAAATCCGGATGCGATGTCACAGAGATTATTGCAAGTGGTTTCGCGAGAAACGCGTGACAAATGGGTAAAAAGTAGACTTCATACGGGACAATTATATTTAAATAATACAATTCATTCCTATGATAGTATTTTTTACAATTCAATTTAATAGTTATACATCCAAAAATATATTGTTATATCAGTCTTACAGAAAGTCTCTGAATTTCCTGAGTTTCCTCAAACGAATGTCGAGAGATTTCCTTCACAATCCGATAAAAAGAGAGTAGTTTATCTTTACTATCATAAATCAAAGTTGCTTTTAAATGCCTGTGTTCCGCGATTCCCATTGTTCTAAATGGTTAAAGAAAAGATCAAAAGTATCCATCTTTAATCGACGAAACCATCTTGGAATTATTATCTCGTTTCTTTCTTTTCGTTTATTAGAACACGTCGAGATATCTCTGAATTACCCTAAATATATAAATGCAGCTGAACAGTTGTATCGTTAGGTGTCGTTAATCGCGATGAACGGAGGTCAACAATGAAGTTATGATCGGTGCACGAGCGATAAAATAAGCGAAAGACGACATATCTCGATGCTCGATTTCTTTACATCCATTGTTTGTGTTTCCGCATTTTTCTTAGCATATGAATTACACACTCGACAATACGGCGATAAACGACAGTCAACACTCGATTAACATGCTCGTTCGCGGGGAATAACATTAGGCCTCCGATTAACTTGCAAGCTATATAGACATAGTGCCCTTTGAACTCTTCCAGGCCACATTTGTCACACAACGACAGACTTAAGCTTTTCGTTGACACATATATCATGCCTGTTTTTCTTTCCTTTCCTCTCGCTCTCTTTCTTTTTCTCGCAGAGGTACAATTATAAGAGAAATAAAGGATAATCTTATAAACCTGAGAGAAAATAGTTCATCACCTGACAGGTTCGATCAACGTATTTAGAATTTACTCAGTAATCCGTCTCCTTGGAACGCGCCTGTCTTGTCTTAAAGTATTACTTTGTACGTTGAATTATTGATCCGTTGTCCACAAGAGAAACGCGAGACCGATTTCTCTCCTTCTGTTCAACGGTTCGAGATCGACGTTTCCCTCGTGACAACGCTCGCGGAGCCTCGCTGCCTGGTGCGCGTCAGTTGTCTCAAAAATACACGTCGAAAATCTTTTCAGGTATCCAAAAAACTTAAGGTTAAATATACAGTTGGAATTACGAACAGCAGTTGAGTAACGGTGCAACGAACGAAAACGTGAGTGCGCTTTGTGCCTGTTTACGTGCGTGGACACACGAAGAATATTCACACGGTATATATATATATATATACGATCGTAACTCTTATATCTTCTTTTTTTTGTTTTTCGTTTCCTTTTTCCCTCGCACATCGACGTTCCAGACGCGTTATGTTGCGGATCTTTAATGACCATTTAATATATATATATATATATATATATATATATATATATCTATAAAAGTGCAGAAGAACAGTTTCTCACAGCGGGGACACTCCTCCTCGGTCTTCTCCTTTCGCGTTTTTTTTTCCTTTTCGGGAAATATATATAGTTTCTTACTTTTACATGTAATACCGCTACATGTTTCGTTATGTATACATGGTCGTCCGACTATTAGTTACGGTGGGATTGTGTTTCGTCCTCGTTCTTCGAGCGAGAACGCGAGAATTACCTTTGTAGTAAAATCAGAAACGTTTCGATCGTAGTGACTGAGCTAATGTAACGCGTGCCACTCTGCGATTTGCTTCCTGGGCGACAACGTCATTTGGAGCCAGTGCTCTCGTCCTTGACTGTTGCCGCTGTCCGTGGCGGGCCCGATGATGCAAGATCCGACCACGGCGTTACCGCCCATCAATTCGCTGCTCGAGTCCAGCACGCGCACCTTACACAAACGTGATTAGTCATTTTTCGCTCCTGTGCAACGCCTACCTCTAATGCTGTAACCCCCGACGGGAATTCTGACGAGTGCCTGTTAAGGCTATTAGAAATTCTAATTCTTCGAACTCTGTCGATAAATATCGAATTATACAGAAATTCCAAAACTTCGAATCATTGAAGAATATATTTATGTCGAATGATACAATTCCTAATTTTTATCATATGAATGATAATCCAGCAGATATCAACTAACAACAACGTTATATCATTATTATAATTTCTCACTCAATAATGGGAATGTTAAATACAACATGTGCTACGTTACATTTATATTGTTGAGTGGGAAATTATAATATTGACGTGACGTTATCGTTAATTAGTGTTTACTGGGAATCTTGATTCTGAATTGTTTCAATTCCCATACAGATTCGCGTAAACATATGACGCCAAGCCGGAAAGATCAAAGCAACGAGAATGAGTTACAGTACGTACGACGTCTCAGATTTAATATGCAAATATGCAGATGACGGGAAAATCTATTGAACGTATATAAATCCGACGGTAAATTTCCTTTCTCTTTCTCCCTGTCCTGTAAGAGCTCGGAACTCGTTGAAGCTAAAAGGGCTCACCTACAATGGATTCTTAATGGAATGTTGAAAGTTTCAACAACAGTAACTAAATTTACTGTGCTGATTAATATCAAGAAACAATCGTACCTCTATAGCCGACGACGCCAGTGACGAAGCGGGCACGTTAAATGACATCGCCTCATTCCAGACGGGATTCATCGTCGCCTTCCTAACGGCCGTCTTCTTCTTCTTCTTTATTCTCTTTTCACCGCAGAGAAGGCTGATTTTCGCGAACGGATCCAACGTCTCCTTGTCCTGCGTTCGAAATGTTAATGAAATATTATTCCGGGACAATAGTTGAAGAAAAACAAACCGAGAATATTGTTTGCGAGCTGAGGTGTCCAAATGCCATTAAATTGCGGCCCACCTGCTGGGGAAACAGATTCCTGGCTTTCATTATGAGCACAGTGAGTCTCTCGGCGCTCGGCAAGTAGGACAACGAGACCAAAACTTCCTGGATTTCTTCCGGCGGCTTGCGCTCCCTCGCTATCTCCCCCCAGACGTCCGTCCAAGAAGTGGAGGAGACCGGATCGAGGTTGTCTATCGCCACCCTCAGGGAACCCACCACGTCGTTCCTCGAGAAGCGGTCATAATCGAATACCTGCGATGTTACGACGTCAAATGTTTATATATTAGGGCATAATTGAGGATGTATTGTCTATAATTCGAAATAATGAAAAAATTATGAAAAAATTACAAATTTATCTATATTGCATTTAAAAATAACACCGAAAGTTTGACAATTATTCCGAGGCTGAATCAAAAGTTATTTCATTTTAAAGAAAATTAAATATATATGTAATTAAAATATTTAGTAATTTTGCTTGATAAATATTAACCCCTTAACTTGTACGCTCGAGTTAATTCGAGCGCGCTAAACAGGCCAAACTGTGCACACTCGAGATAATTCGAGCGGTGTTGTATTTTATGCTGCTATAATTTTTCACACTCAAATATAATCGAGAATTGAAAATAACAATGTGAAAGCAAAGAAAAAAATTTTTTTACATAAAAAAAAAATTGATTTTTTTTTAGTCGGTTTAAAAAAAAACTGTGCATTAAGGGGTTAAATTTATAAATGGCCTCGTTTGATTCACCACTGAAAATACGACACCAGTGGTGAATAATACATCCTTAATTGCGATTCCACTTTACTCATCGCCACTTAATAACAGAGTCCAATGACAGAATTACCTGCAACATTAAGGTCTTCTCCTGCAACTCCTCGTAGCTCACGGGGAACTTAAAGTGCTGATTGAAACTCGGATTCGGATTGTTCCGATGGATCTGCGTCTGCCTTTTCCTGGTGTCCACTTCCGGGCTGAGGGTCAGCTTCACGTAGGGATCGTTGAAGCCGCCCTGATCGCTGCCAGCGAGATCCTTCGCCTCGATCAGATGCACGTGCAAGTCCGATCTATCGAAGTCGTACTTCAGGCGCAGGTGAAGCTCGCCAAGATGTTTTCCCGTTCTGCGAACATCACGATTCGTAGGAATTTCATTACTTCCGCTATTTTCGCACGGAAAAAGCAACTCCGTCGGTGTAACTGAATTATCCCGTTGCCTGGGGACCGGATGAAAGCTCGGTCGTAGAGACAGAAAGATTCCCGTAGGAAGTTAGATTGACTGAGTAGTCAATTACTCTCAGTTGTCTCGACCGAGTTTTAACGCAGCTGAACGTTCACACGAACGTTCTCAGTCGCGATAACAGAACCATCATCATCGAGATTTTCATTTCTTGTCGCTTAGTTTTCATCTGGTCCTTATTCTGTTGCAGGAACTGAGTTGTTTTATACCGTGCGGTATTCTTTTTCCTCCTTCTCTCTTTCCGCAGTAAGAGAGATAATAAGATCCACTTTCTGTGGGTCAAGTTTTATTAAGTACCTGCGGGCGCTCAGGAAGACCTTACTGTCTTCTTTTTGGTAGAGATCCGGTTGTAAAGAACCAAGCGGGGAAGCAGGCGGTACGGGGCCACCGTTGTTGCTGTTAAAGGAAACGCGAGAATTTTACGTTGAGAGATGCACATTCTGACGAGGAGAATGCGGTGGAAAAAGAAAATTGGAACAATTCGAGGAATGATCAAAGAGTAATCCTTGCGTGAAAGCGTGTTTTTTTCGTTTTGATCGATGTTTACCAATTTTAATAGACGAACATTTTGAAAATGAATACTGAATATAATCAATGACAGTGCGTGAGAATGATATTCTTTGTATGGTCTTGAAAATTTTGATATTTATGTTGCGTCTAGTTAAATGGTATTATCTGCCTTCACGAGGAGGATAAAATCGTCAACAAGTTTGTGAGAATTTTAGTAATTTTATCATGTTTATACGAAAGAGAGAACTTTATTATTGACTTTCACGTGGATATATTATTTACCTTATGGAAGCACGTGGTGGCGGGATGAGAAGAGGTGACAAGCAACGACTGGCTTGTCTCGAAGTGCCTTGAATGGCATTTATTGGCGAACACACGCAAGTGGAACTTACGCCCGTTGCCAGTGACGACAAAGAGGTCTGCGAAGGCGACGCATTTCCACTGTGCAGGCTGCTCGAGTAACTGGCAGGACTTCCACAACGTGCATCCAAGGACGCCGCCCTAGCTGGTGAAGGAGACCTGTGGGAAGTTTCGAAACTGCACGTCTATGTGCGAGGGAGAAGAAAAATTCAAGAATCCATATTGTACGTAAGATAAGATAATTAATAATAAATAATAAAATAATTGATAGTAGATCAAAAATAAGATAAATATTGAACATAAGATAATTATTTCCTCATTTCAAAGGCTTTAATTATAAGTGTCTCAATATCTTAATTAAAAATGTTTAATTGTTTAAAATATTCCACGAATAAAAAAATTGTTAAAAAAAATAAAACAAACTAACGTTGTGTTTGATTTAGTGTGTTTTATCACGCAATAACTGACATTGAAACGAATAACTGATTAATAATATGCAATAATAACACTGACTACAATTGCTCGATTTAATTTCGGACAATGCAAACTCCAACCGCACATTTTGTGTTTGTGAATTCTCGCTGTTCGATGCAATTGTTTCAGTATAATAACGTGTATATACACTGAGTTTCAAAACGATTTAGATACTCTTTCATGCAATTTAAAACGCATTTATTTTTCAAAAACAAGTTCTCTCATTGGACCATCGCTTGCACTTCGTACGCGTCGAAAAAAAAAGAGTATTTAAATTTAGAGTATTTTAACGTTTCAAAACTCAGTGTACATTTAATTTGTTCAAATATATATAGAGAGATACGAGAAAATATAGAAAGAAAGAATCGGCCCGGAAAAGGGTCGAAGATTTCACCAGTGAAAATAAGTACGCACTTGTTCCGTGCGAATTTTTCGCAATTACGAGAATAAACGACTACTGTTTTATCTAAATAAATCGAGAGAGCTTTGAATGTGGGACAACCGGCACTATTATAAATACACTCGTCACTCGATGTTTACGACTTGACTCGTTAATCGATTCCTCGATTTCCGCGAGCAGTACTCTTCATCACATTCTCGTCGTCGCTCTCAAGGCAAATTCCACGCAAAATCGCTCAAGATTGTTCAAATGGAAAAAAGAAAAAAGAGGACACATTACCAGTTTTTCGACTTTCAAAGTCGATTCTTTTAAGGCTTCCCGAAAGAGAAATTCATTCGTCAATCTCTATCTGGATATTTTCTTTTCTCCCCGAATAACATTACCCTCTTTTCACTGCGATGTTTCGCCGGTTTATCCGCTATATATTACGTACTAAGGGTATAACGAATATATATATGCGTCACATTTTTCCCATCAACCTCGAGTTTCTGCTGGGTGGATACGAAGAGGCGGCGTGTAAAGGGTCGTGTCGAGCATAATGCCGTCCATCCGGACCGAACGCCCTGATTTGAGGCGATGATCCGCGATGACTCGAGGAACAGGATGCACCCTCCAGCGAGCTCTGCGAGCTGACGGACGAGTTTCTCACCAATGTTCGACCACCACTTCCGCCGCCCGGGTAACTGCGACTTTGATGAGGCAAACCTCCAAGCGGAAAACGAATTACGTGTAAAATTATATGAGATGAAAAATTATCATGGTAATAACGGCCGGATAGATTTTTTGAGAAAGTTTCTCTCTCAATCGCATGCGCGCGCCACGATAGCTCGTAAATTTCTTCGTAATTTAATCCCGGCGAGAGGACAAGCGATGAGTGAAGCGCAAGTCTCTCTTTATAAATTGAGTCCCTTGTACGGTTGATAATAAAGGATGATGTTTAAAAGATTATCGATAATCATAAAAAAAATTTGTTTTTAATGCGTTCTTCGATTTAAGATTGTTTGTACATGCAATTCGCAGAAATTAAACTAATGTACGTGCATATTTATGAAGCGTGCATTTATGCATTCTATGAACGTTAATTAAAGCTAATTGAATGTAATTTCTCAGAAACTACATTAAAGAGAGATAGAAAATCCCTTTCTCTCTCTCTCTCTCTCTCCTCCTCTCTCCTTCACGTATACTTAAATTACATATAACTTTGACTAACATTTGCAGTAACGGCTCTATTAAAGTAATTTATGGGTTACCCGATTCAGATGTTGAAGGTTGTACAGCATGTTGCTCCTTTGCAATGTTAAATTCCTGAAACAGAAAATCACAGCATAGAATTCGCTTTAACAACTTCGACGCGGCGCATGCTGGGTTTATTGAATCCGAGCGTGCTACACGCCAAATATTAGTATAGATTTTTAATCAAGTGTATGACAACGTGCACGCTCATCTCTCGCTAAAAAGAAAAAAAAATTAAAAAAACGCGGAGAAATTTCTGACACATTTCTTTGAATGGAAAATTCTGTTGAAATTATTTTTGCGGAATATCACTCACAAGTAGCTCAACTATATAACTATGTATGCTGTATATACTGCAGATATCGTAAATCATTGCACAAATGCTGTTGATATCTATTTTTTTTCAAATTCAGTTGCCATTGTGAATAACAAAATTTGGCACTACCTAATAAAAATATTGGAACAAGAGGTGGGAATTTTCGAAGAACATGACGAAAAGATACGAGAGAAAAATAAAGACTCGTGAAAGTAGGGAAAATTAAATTCTCTTCAAGGTATTTCCATTTTGCAAAATTATTTCTCGGATGTATACTTGTCACACTACATGAGAGAAGTATTTTTTAATTTTCTACTTTCTACTATATATCGTGCGTAATAACAATATACACTCAGAAAATCATCACATTTAAAAAAGAATTTTAATCGAAATAATTCCGAAATCATTGTGAAATAAAATATTCCATGTGTTTGGTTTTAATTAATCTCGTCAACTTTCCCTTATTCTCAGTCAACAAACCTGACCCACGATATAAAATATTAATACCGATTTAATTTTTTTTTATTTACGCGATAACGAATCGATAACTGTGCCCTGTAATGCGCAGATCAATTAAAGGCGTTTGTTGATCGGCGCAAAAGACCGTTAAAAAAAAATTGGTATTAATCGAAGCGATGAAAAGTGTCTCCTCTTTTCTTTTTGGCTTGCGGATACAATTTACAGTGACGAATTATGCGTTTTGTAACTGACTGGCTCGATCCCGCGGTGCCAATATTTATTTTCAAGGCACGTGTAGGTGTTCCGTACCGGCCGAATTACATATTAATTAACGCTTCACCGATACTCTCTCTCTCTCTCTCAGTCATTCTGTCTCGGACATACATGCGGCCTGGTCGTATCGTTGTGTACACGCTCTCTCGTACTGCCCCATCGATATGTAACGTTAATTAGATCTCGTTTCGCCCTGTGCTTAATTTCAGCCGCTTCCGCCTTTGACAACGCGACAGGGAGTCACGTCGATATTTTCCCGTCGGCATTCGCTCGTTACACGCCGTCGGCCGCTTTCTCGTGCGAGATAAACAGCGAGCGGGGGTGGTGTGTGATGCCTTTCAACAAATTTAACGGAGCTCGCACGATCCTCGTCGCGTCATTCCACTTGTCGGCGGAGTTAACGATTTAATTTAAGGACAGACAGCTTGTCTTGCGCGCCGTTGTTGTGAAAACGTCCGTTTTCACAGGCGCTTTGTGGGAAAAAGCGCGAGAATTTCGCGCACTTGAGCAGATAAACTCGTTCGGGAGACCCGAGGAGATTCGCCACCAGCTTAGGGGGAAAAGTGTTAGCGCTTTGCGCGAAAAAACATGGACTTGAGCGCTCCCCGCGGGGTAGTTTCGCGCAGTCCTCTCTCGGGGACACGCAATCTCGAGCGAGTTCCCTAGCGTTCCCTAGGTACTCTCCTCCCATGGTCTTTGAGGGAATAATTGAACGATCGCTTTGAAGTGAAGAGCTCTTCATAAATTATCCAGGAAGCTGTATAACGCACGACGGCAGTACGGAGTACGTATACGCGAAACGCGTACTCGCCGAGGACGGATCTTCGAAGCGCGAAAGATCGGAGAAAAAGAGCCGAAGATGCCAACTTCGAGTTTCAACGTTGTGACGAAAGGGTAGATGGCAGTTAGGGGCGAGGTCGCTGGAAGCTGCCTTTGACGGGTCGATACTTGTGGAGCAGCACAAGCAGAATCCACGGTTCCGCCCATCGAGCCAAAACACCAAAATCTCCGTTCCTCCGACCTTTTTTCGTCTATCACGTGGATACATGCGTATTCTTCCCCTCTCCCTCTCTCTCTTTCTCTCTCCTTCCCTCTCTCTCTCTCTCTCTCTCTCTCTTTCTTTCCCGGAGATCAAGATTTCAGATTTGCATAACGATCCGAGTGAAACCGGGATGTGATCGATGGAACACCGAGTTATGTAGCAAACTTGTTACAGGGATGATACAACTGTTTATGCCCGGCGTTTCGTCGTATTCGTATGTCCATACTTGCGTCGTTATGCAAATTTATACACGCGAGTTCTTTTCTCGACTACACACGACGTGCGTATATGGTCCATCCGATCTCGGAGCGAATTGCACACACGCCTAAGATCTGTACTTTCAGGCAGTTCCCGAGGATGACTTCCGCTAAATTCTGCTTAAGCTAACCGACGATTAACTCGGCCGGCGGAGTTGTCAACATGGAAAATAAATGACAGTTTGCTGTTAAAACGAGGCAGAATATTCTCGTGTGCTCTCTTCCTATAACTGGCATTTAAAATTGCCATCAGTCAAGTATTTTTCATGCTGTTAACGTACACGGAAATAAATGAATAAAGAATTATTAATTGGTTCGCTATTACGGGAGAATTGCTGTTGGCGATTGTGCGGTCGGTTAATCGTCGACTGATTTAATTGAACGGAGAAAAATAATTTGCCAACACAGCAAATTTTACGCTGTCGCAGCTAAATCTGTCAATTACTAGTACAGTGAGAGTATTAATCGCCATTCTCTGGATTATTTAGTTTTACTGAAACCAAATATAAAATAGCAACGATGGTTTCGTTATAACAGCAAAATTATTTTTCTCTGTCCGAAATTTCGTGAAAGTGATCCTGAGTGTGACAATGGAGGTGCGCAAAATGGATAAGTATCGTTATCGAAAGCTATTGTTTTTTTCTCATAATAATTTCAGATAGTACTCGTTGGCTTTCAAATTCAAACGAGATGCGGAGGGTCTCGAATAATATTCTATCTGAGACACAAGAGGGTCGAACGTGAGTCTGTTTTCCTTCGGCGTAAACTCGTGAAGAGTGAAAACTTTCAAGTGCCTTCAAGTTCGAAAATTTTCATATTTCACGAGCTTACGCCAGAGGAAAAGATTCACGATCGGCCATGAGCATTTTGAAATAAAGCTAAATAATGAAGAGCATCGTCGGGCCGATCTTCTCGTCAGAAGTAGTGGAGAGAACAATATTTATTGTCGAATGTCTAAGCAGCACGACGGGAGCACGACGTCAACCTACATGGAGCTCGATTAAATATGAAAACGGACAAAATTAAAAAGAGAAAAAAAATTTGTCAACGCGACCAACTTAATTAAAATCGCTGTAATGATGAAAACTTTTAGCAAATCAAAGGCGCTGCGCTACGACACGTGCGCTCACGGGACAGCACAAAATCGTGAAGCGACGATATCAAAAATTCATACACGCGTGATATAAATCCCTCCCCTTTTCTCGCCTGCCGGAAGTTTTTCATCGCGACGTAACCCGTGTGACTTTAATTTTCACACCGGCGTGAAAAGAAATTAACTCTGCTTTATCATGCAGATTTTGTTTGACACACACAGCGACGATCGCTGCGTAGCAGACTGGAACGAAGTTTCCGTGTAGAGTTGATAAAGCATTTCGTGCTGCCGTCCTGTATGAGCGCGGAGCAGAATATTCGAGGACGTGGCGGGACGAGTCCGCGCGATCGAGGCGAAATATATTCACTCAGAAAATATACTGTTTATCGACCATGCATAACAAGTATTGACGGCAGATTTTTAGTTCCAATTGAAAGGAATGACCTGTGAGCGTCCAGTGAAGCGGCGCGAAAGATACAATACGCGAATATACACAGCGCCGAGCACGCAAATTGTCTCTCGAGACATAAAGATAAAAACTTTAGAGATCTTTCGCCCTCTCTTGTTGAGAAAGAGAGAGAGAGAGAGAGAGACAATCGATAGTTGACGATGAACATGTATATAAATCCATCTTCCTCCGTATATTAAAACAAATTTTACGGAAGTTGAAAAAGACACACTCGCTTTCAAAACGCCTTTTTTTATCTCCCTCTTCTCTTTCTATTAATTCACAATGTGGGTCGCGAGATACTTTCTATTTTCTTTTACCATTGAGCGAAAGCGAATGCAAGCGAAACGTGCGCGCAGCTGTACCAGCCTGAAATGAAACTGGAACAGTCCCTGTGCGAATAACAAAACTAAATTCTATCAGTCTCTATGCCGAAATTGATATCGAAGCGAGAAACTGTTCTGTTATATTTTTTATCTCCTCGCTGCAGTATAACAGTGAGCGTAGCGTTTCTCTTCTCGCAGTTCGAGAAGCATCTCCACCTAAATCGCGAAGCATTACATTCATTATGCAGGATGTCCAAAGTTTTAATGGCCGAACTACGCTAGTATATTCTAAAAATAAGAAAAAAATGTTATATAAACATTTTTTAACAAGGTCTATGGGACCTTTGTTAAAAAATTACAACTAAAAAATGTAAAAATGCACTGCAACACATTTTTTCCGATGAATTTCGCAATGCATTTCGTATCCAATAGAAAAATGTATCTTCTGAACTTATATAATATTTTTTTTCTTATTTTCATCCATAGAACACACTGGCGCAGTTTGGCCGTTAAAACTTAAGACATCTTATACATCGAACTGCTACACGCGCAGAAGGAATAGCTCCCATTCGTCAACCGTGAAAGAAAAGCAAACGGCCGAAATGCTTTCAACCATACGCGCAGATGGGGAGCGAATCAATATATGTAAATGACAGCTTGGTCAATATACTTTTGACTATTCATATTCTCATTCCGCTCAACTCAAATGAAATTAATTGGAAATTAATAACGCGCGACAATGGAAAGTATCGCAAATTGTGCAACAATTAAATTGAAAGGAACAAAGGAAACGTGTTTGCAATTTGCAACAATAATGTTCTTTCGACGATGTGACAGCCGTAGAAATATTATTTACAC